TTAAAAACGGGGCCCAAAATCCAAAAACTTAATACACGGTTAGAATCAGCATATTAAAGAACCCCAAGAATTCAAGAATAAAACCCCATTGAAATTGGTCAAGAAATAAGCAATTTATACGAAGTATCTTCTTTTGCACAATACTGTGCAATTGAATATTTCTTGCTATTGCGCAATACTGTACAATTGACAATTTCTTGCTATTGCGCAATATTGTGCTATTGGATATTTCTTGCTATTGCACAATACTGTGCAATTGAAGATTTCTTGCTATTGCGCAATACTGTGCAATTGAAGATTTCTTGCTATTGTGCAATACTGTGCAATTGAAAATTTCTTGCTATTGCACAATACTTATTATATAATAATTTACACATCCTGTTTGGTGTGTATCTCCTACCATATCATTATTATTTGCTTTTAAATATAAAACAGAAATAACCAACTTAAAATGGAAAATTTTAAAAGAAAAAAAAAAGGAAAAAAAGAAAAAAAAGGAAAAAAAAAAAATCCCCCCCCCCCCCCAAATTTGTTGAACCCCCTTATGATTCATCACCCCAAACTCAATCCCAGCCTTCCCTTTGTGGTATGGTACCTTGCAGTACAGTTTCAGAGAGATCCATACACTTGAACACAAGTTATTGTCTGGAAACTAGAAAAATGCTTATTTTTGGCCCCTTATTCCTAAATGTTTTGGGCAATTACCCCCAAACTCAATTCCAGCTTTCCCTTTGTGATATGGAACCTTGTAGTACAATTTCAGAAAGATCCATACACTTAAACACAAGTTATTATCATGAAACTAGAAAAATGCTTGTTTTTTGCCCCTTTTTGGCCCCTAATTCCTAATATTTTGAGGCAATTACCCCCAAAATCAATCCCAGCATTCCCTATGTGATATGGAACCTTGTGGTACAATGTCAGAGAGATCCATACACTAACACACAAGTTATGTCTGGAAGTTACAAAAATGCTTATTTTTGGCCCCTTTTTGGCCCCTAATTCCTTAACTGTTGGTACCATAACCCCCAAAATCAATCCCAACCTTCCTTTGTGGTATTGAACCTTATGGTAAAATTTCATAGAGATCCATTCACTTAAACTAAAGTTAGAGTGCGAAAACCAATGTGTCTTCGGACGACGCCGGATGACGACGACGACGCCAACGTCATACCAATATACGACCGCAAATATTTTTTGCGGTCGTATAAAAACTTAACATTTAACAATGAACCTTGAAAATGAGGTCAAGGTCAAATAAAACATGCCAGACTGACATGTACATCGTAAAATATTTCCATACACTAAATATAGTTGACCTACTGCATACAGTATTAGAAAAACAAACCAAAACGCAAAAAACTTAACATTGAGCAATGAACCGTGAAAATGAGGTCAAGGTCAAATAAAACTTGCCAGACTGATATGAACATCGTACAATATTTCCATACACCAAATACAGTTGACCTATTGCATACAGTATTAGAAAAACAGACCAAAACACAAAAACTAAACTATGACCACTGAACCATGAAAATGAGGTCAAGGTCAGATGACACCTGCCAGTTAGACATGTACCCCTTACTATCATTACATACACCAAATATAGTAGACCTATTGCTTATAGTATCTCAGATATGGACTTGATCACGAAAACTTAACCTTGTTCACTGATCCATGAAATGAGGTCGAGGTCAAGTGAAAACTATCTGACGGGCATAAGGACCTTGCAAGGTACGCACATACCAAATATAGTTATCCTATTACTTATAATAAGAGAGAATTTAACATTCCAAAAAATCTGAACTTTTTTTTCAAGTAGTCGCTGAACCATGAAAATGAGGTCAAGGACATTGGACATGTGACTGACGGAAACTTCGTAACATGAGGCATCTATATACAAAGTATGAAGCATCCAGGTCTTCCATCTTCTAAAATATAAAGCTTTTAAGAAGTTAGCTAACGCCGCCGCCGTAGCCGCTGGATCACTATCCCTATATCGAGCTTTCTGCGACAAAAGTCGCAGGCTCGACAATAAAAATGAATGGCCATTAAGGAGTCAGTTGACAATTTTTTGGTTTTGCTGACTAATTGTAGATCTTATTGTGCTCAACACCTTTGCTTGATACATGTTCTTTGTAAATCTTTTGGTTTCTGCATAAATGGGGGAAAATCATCTTTGAAGGACAATGATTCCTAAAAGGGGTCAATTGATGCTTTCAGATGCTTAACTTTTGTACTATCTAGTTTCTCATTATCTATTATGGTTTATGCAAAAAATGCAAAAAATGGGTTAAATTGGTTCAAGGGCAATAATTCTTAAAAGGGGTCAATTGACGATCTAGGCAAAGTTGCTTATTTGTAGATCTTGTACTGGTAATTTTTACCTGTTAAAGTTTTTCTCTATCTATAATACATTTCTGGGGGCAATAACTCCATAATGGGTTGTCAGAATTTTCTGAAAATTCAATATGATATAGAAATTGACCTGCTGATCATTTTTATTTGTGACACTTCTGCTCTTACTGATTAGTTTTTGAAATAAAAAGCAAAAACTTTGAAATTTGATAAAAATTCACATTTTAGGGGCAACACAAGTCATGTTCTCCAAAATAGGTTATCCAATTATTCTAAAAATCTAGACATATAAGCCAAAAACTCCATTTTACCCCTATGTTCTATTTCTAAGCAACAGCGACCATGTTTGTTTAAGGATCAAATCCCAGGATACAATTTTGAAACTAAAATCCCTAAGGAACATTCAGGTAATGTTTGGTAACATTTGTAACAGATGTTTCAGAGAAGATTTTTGAAAAAGTAAAAGACAACAGACAACAAAAATGGATGCCAATTGATGGCAAAAACATCATATGGCCTTTTAGAACAAGTGAGCTAAAAATATGGCAAGTAGAGTCCAAAGACGAGTTTGACTCCAACCTGTCACATGTGCCTGTCCCAAATCTGGATTCCTGTTGTGGTAGTCTTCAGTTATAAAAAAATGTTTTTGTGATTTGGGGAATTTGGTGATGATGGCAGATCACTAATATTCTCTGTTACTGTGACTTGACTGCTACTGTTGCTCTCCACCTATTGCAATTTATTCAAAATTCTGACCAAATTGCAATTTGTTTTATAAAACCAACTGGTTAGAAATTTGAACAAACTGCTGTAGAAAACTACAGTCAAGTCGTGAAAGTGCAAGTGATAATATAAAGCATACTTACAATCCTATAAGACTTTAATTCCACTTCAATGTTACTATGAAAAATCAGTCGAACAGTTGTATTGAAATTTTATTGTTATTGTTATGCTAAAGGTGATAGGTAGTAATTTTGAATTGCTATAAAAATGTCCAAACTAAGCTTTCATACAATTTTTCTTTCAAAAAGTCTTCCATATTCATAAGAAACAGACATCATTTGAATTAAAACATTTTATATTCAGTAAAATATGTGTGAAATTACAATACTTTGTTAGGTAGTTTACATGGGAGATAATCAATTTTTCTTTCGAAAAGTCTTCTATATTCAAAAGAATAATGTTTTAGGTTATCTCCCATGGAAACTTATTAACAACGTATTGTAATTTCACATATATTCTACTGAATGTAAGATGTTTTAATTCAAATGATGTCTGATTCTTATGAATATAGAAGACTTTTCGAAAGAAAAATTGTACGAAAGCTTAGTTTTTATATTTTTATAGCAATTCAAAATTACTACCTATCACCTTTAGCATGACAATAACAATAAAAGAAGTAGGATCGATAAGGCTCAAAAATGGCCCTCTTTTTTAGCAAAAATTTCAAATTAGGATTTATTGACCAATATCACAATGAATCGTAGCTAATACAACGACTAGATAGGAAATAAGCTTTTTTGTTGAAAATTTACGTTCCTGCGTTTTATTCATGACGTCATCAAACATTTTGATTTTCCACGAAAAAAATCATTGAAAATGGGTAAATTTCCATTGATTATTGGACAGGAAACATAGAGCGCATACGTCGACAAAAAAGATCTTTTAAAATAATGTTTGTAAAGACATTTTACATGTCTAACTTGAATATTTAGTTTGTCGATGCCTGCGCTCTATGTTTCCTGGTCTTAAATTTGGTTGAAATCTGGCCAATTTTGTCAAATTTCGCCAAAATCTCTTATCTTGACCTATTTGGGATGTAAAAATCAACTCTTGAGAAGAAAACTTTGACACAAATAGTTCTATTTAACTTTCTCACATGTCTTTAAGCCAACTTATCTTGTAACATTGAACTTTATAATCGGGGCCCTTACCGAACTTACTCCTTTCTATACAAACTGTTCGACTGATTTTTCATAATAACATTGAAGTGTAATTGAAGTCTAATAGGATTTTAAGTATGCTTTATATTATCACCGTGCACTTTCACGACTTGACTCTGGTTTTCTACAGCAGTTTGTTCAAATTTCTGACCAGTTGAACAGTTTGGTTTTATAAAACAAATTGCAATTTGGTCAGAATTTTGAATAAATTGCAATAGGTGGTGAGCAACACTAACAGTCAAGTCACAGTAAATTCAGTCACAACTTTTCTAGACTCATGGTAAATTAGAGCTTAAAAAGCTGTATACTAGACACTTCAGTTGATAAAGACGTAATGTTGACCTCTAGAAGTCATTTGGTGTTTGTATCATTGGGCTGCTGTTCCATTAATGTACACCCTCCATATCTTTTAGGTGAGATTAAATTCAAAACTTTATAAGAAAGAGATGTCTTCTAATATGTTTTTTTCAGTATCTTGTTAAAGCTTATGACATGAAAATATCACATGGCAACATTATCTAAAGCAACACAGCTTATATTGCATAGTCTACAAATTTGTAACTCTTTGATATGTTTTTTAGGCTTCTAGGGTTAGAACATGTAATCTTTATGTTTCAGTCTGAATAAAGACATGTCAGCTCCATGTTTTAAGGATATGAAGGATTCTGTTATCTTAGATAACAAGACTTTATCATAAAGCTAATCAGATATTATCCTTTAATGACAGCATCACGGAAGATGATATATCTGCTAAAATATTGTCTCTATTTTCCCTTGTTATCTGTAATAAAAATAATAGATACATGTTGTTATGTTGGATAAAAAAAATTCTGATTAAAATCTTACAATTTTTGTGCATTAATTTAATACATCTGCTGTCATGCTTAATAAGTGTGCATATGACATTGTAACAATTTAATTAACACTTATGCAAAAAAGTTGCATTCTATATTTATTTTAAATTTATCTATTTCTGTTGATATACTTGAATGAATACATTGCAACCAGAAATATAAGGGAGACAATTCATGATATCTTTTTCCATTTATACTTTTTTAAGGTATGCAAGTATTTGGAAAGCATCTTTTGAATTTCAACACTCATGTTCAATGTATTTAATATTTCCTTAAAATTCATTGAAAAAAATCTGTTTAGGAGAAATAATTTGTTTTTCAAAAGAATGAAATACCTGGTTCAACATTGTGTCTTTCCCTTGCAGAAATAAATCCTGGCAACTTTTATATATCAGGATATCTCAAGATAATCTTGGGAAATCCTGAAAAGATCCTGTTGGGTATATTCTGCTGCAATGCCATGAACTACTCACATATATACAATATTATTATGATTTAAATTGTACATAAACTAAACTAGAGATGAAATTCCACATACTTTATATTTAATTAATGAAGAGTGAAACATTATGTCTCAAAAATAAAACTTACTGTAAAAACATGTGCATCTGGTCTTCCTCTAACCTCCTCTACCAGCTGCAGTGGTCTCCCTTTTGGTACAGGAATTGTCGCTATGACAGTTAAACATTTTGTATCCAAGATATGTTTGACATGTCTGATAAAACTCTGACTAAATAATTCCATTTTTCCAATCTCATCTATGATAATGACTCTGTTCTGTTTATCCTGTGAACAATAAAATATTATTTTTTGAAATATGGATGGTGTAATAATATAATAGGACTATAACAAATGGACAAGTTTCTATTTGGTTCAACAATGATTGATTGATTGTTGGTTGCTTAACGTCCAGTGGCAAATATGTTCAAATAATGTACAGTGGCACACATTTCCTTCCAATTAATTTTTTTTTCATAGCCACATACTTGTCCTGATAATGCATGACATATTTGGTACTGGATGTCTGAGACTACTATTAATATTGTGTAATACAGGGTTATCATTAGGGCAAGTCCATGAGTCAAAAACTCATGTAAATCTGTCTGGACTCATATTTTTCAAAACTGGTGAGTCCAAAGATGCATCAAGATTGTAAAATGTTGTATCAACTGAGCACACATCATCATTTTAAAGCAAAAGTTTAAAAATAATCTAAATTTTATGTCATTTCCTTGCTCTATTTTGTCATGGAGACTGAAATAAAGAATTATATAGCAATAAAATGTCTTTTTCTCACTGTTGGACTCACCATGACCAAAAATGACAAGTCCCTAGCTGGATTCACCTTCAAAAATCCTTAGTGAGAATCCTGGTAATAGCAGTCTCAGTGGATGTTAATCAATTAATCAATCATATCCACATTTGCATTTTCTTAAATACCTTAACTTGCAGTGTAGGTAAGGCTGTGTTTTCAAAAGACTGTAAACAAACATTGTACTTTCCAACAGTGTATTGTCTGCCACTTGGTATATCACTGTGGAAATAAGAAGAGGATTTAGATAATTAGTACTTTGTTTATTGAATTGTAGAAGTAACATTTTTACTTCAACGGTACTAGAGAACACATCATTAGCAAGACTTTATTTTTACTTTCTGATCTATGTTTTAAACTAAAGGCACTAAAGAGCCTGTGTTGCTCACCTTGGTCTATGTGCATTTTCAACAAAGGACACTCTCCAACATTGTAGACGAGAAAAGAATTCATGACAAAAGTCTCTGTTTTGTTGATCTTGTATTGCCGATCATTTTGTCTGTTTAGTTTCTCTCTATCTTCTTTAGTTTTTCCTCAAAACACAAAAGAGGGTAAAAGAAAATCCTCATTTAAGGGCAATCACTCTTATAAAGAGTGACAGTCTACTAACTATATTGGAATAATTTGACTTGTTAGTAGATCTTGCTTTGCTCATCATTATTGTGATTTAAAGTGTCTATTTATTTCTTTAAAAATTTTTATCATATAAGGAAAAACACAAAAAAATTGGTAAAAATCGTCATAAATGGGCAATAACTCCATTAAGGAGTCATCGGACGATTTCCTCCATATTGTCTTAATTGTAGATCTTGTCTTGCTGATCATTTTTGCTTATTTAAGTTTCAATCTATCTATTATAATTTTTAAGATATAAGGCAAAACACCAAAAAAAATGATAAAAAATAATCATCAAAGGGCAATAACTCTAATAAGGAGTCGACTGACGATTTCAACCATGTGAACTTATTTGTAGAACTTGTCTTGCTGATCATTTTTGATCTATTATAGTTTTAAAGATATTAAAATAGGCAAAAATTAAATCCAAGGAGCCTGTGTCGCTCACCTGATATTTTTGTTTACAATTGATGCATGAAATAATGCAACCATTATACTTCTGCTTTAGTTTCAGAGATATAAGCCAAAAACTGCATTTTACCAATATGTTCTATTTTTAGCTATGTCAGCCATGTTGGTTGGCAGGCGGGGTCATCAGACACATTTTTTAAACTTGATACCCTAATGATGATCAGGCCAAGTTTGGTTAAATTTGTCTCGGTAGTTTCAGAGTAGATTTTTGTAAAATATTACAAAAATGTACGATAAATTGTAAAAAATTTACTTTAAAGGGCAATAACTCCTTAAGGGGTCAATTGACAATTTTGGTCATTTGACTTTTTTGTAGATCTTACTTTGCTGAACATTATTGCTGTTTACAATTTATCTCTATCTATAATAATATTCAAGATACCCAGTCAGATTTGCTCTCAATGCTTTAGTTTCAGAGATATAAGCCAAAAACTGCATTTTACCCCTATGTTCTATTTTTAGCCATATCGGCCATGTTGGTTGGCAAGCATGGTCATTGGACACATTTTGTAAACTAGATGCCCTAATGATGATTGTGGCCAAGTTTGGTTGAATTTGTCTATGTAGTTTCAGAGAAGAAGGTTTTTGTAAAAGATTACAAAATTTACAAAAAATTGTTAAAAATTGACTATAAAGGGCAATAACTCCTTAAGAGGTCAATTGACAATTTTGGTCATGATGACTTTTTTGTAGATCTTACTTTGCTGAACATTATTGCTGTTTACATTTTATCTCTATCTATAATAATATTCAAGATAATAACCAACAAGAGGCTGTCAGAGTGACAGCAAACCGGATTTTCCTGTAGAGGTCGAACCCTAAACAGTTGAGCAAGTATGGACACTACATTTAAGCTTAAAACAGCTCTGAATTTGGATTGTGATTGAATATTTGACACAGCATAGGTTTGGGACACAAAATGAATGTGGTTTAAGAACTGAAATACTTGAAATTGGACATTTAAATACCTATTATGGTCCAATATCAAAAATCTAAGTACATATTAGAATCAGCATATCAAAGAACCCCAAGAATTCAATTTTTGATGAAATCAGACAAAAGTTTAATCTAAGACCCTTTGGACCTCAATGTGGACCAATTTGATAAAGGAGCCCACAATCCAAAATCTCTCAATACATGGTTAGATTCAGCATTTCAAAGAACCCCATAAATTCATTTTTTGTTGAATCAAACAAAGTTTAATTTTGGACCCTGATTTGGACCAACTTGAAAACTGGGCCCAAAAATCTAATATTTAAATACAGGTTTAGATTCAGGATTTGAAAGAACCCTATATATATTTTATTTATGTTGAAATGAAACACAGGTTAATTTTATCCATATTTTCTGTGCAAAGGGAAATAACTCAAACTGGATAAATAGTTCTCTAAAATAAGATATGATGCAATTTTTCAAATTATAATCAATAATATAATAACAACCAGTTATGACTAAGTTCTCTAAAATTAGATATGATTTAATACTCAAACATTGCTAGAATCAGCATATCAAAGAACCAAAGAATTCAATTTTTGATGAAATTAATCAAAAGTGTAATTTAGGACCCTTTGGACCTCAATGTGGTATTATCTTATTAATAATGAAAAGAAATACAGGTTTAGATTAAGCATTTCAAAGAACCCTATATATATTCAATTTATGTTGAAATCAAACACAGTTTAATTTTGGACCGACTTGAAAACTGGGCCCAAAATCAGAAATCCAAATATGTTTATTAATAGACAATAAAAGCTTAGTTTTTAAAGGAGTTTACTTCATCAAAAAAAAAATATATATAGCATTCAGAAATTTATTTTTCACAGAATAACAAACAAACTTGCCACAAAATTCTACAAACAATTTACCAAAGAAAAGAAGAAAAAAATCCATAATTTTATTTATCATTAATACAATGTCATTTCAAAATCTATAAAACTTATCAGTAACAAGAAATAATTGTAACAGAATGCTGTTACGAAGTCTCCCAAACAAAGCTCCAATAATTCGTCATTCCCATTGTCGCTTGACATTGGGCAATGTCCAGTACAAATTGGTTTATGATATGCATTAGTGACACCTATGGATTGACCCTGTATGTCATTCAAATCTTCTTGAAATTACGAACAGGAATTTATATGGTTTAGGGGTGGAGATCTCAACCGTTTACAAGTTCTCAAAGGGGGGGTGATCCCCAGGGGACTCTCCCTTTATTTCATATGATTTGTTTTTTTGTCCTGTACAAGAATATATATGGTTTAGGGGTAGGGATCTTGACCGTTTACAAGTTCTTAAACAGGAGGCGGTGGGGTTGACCCCAGGGGACTCGCCTTATATTTCATTTGATTTGTTTTATGGTCCCATACAAGAATATATATATATGGTTTCCGCATGGGGATCTTGACCGTTTACAAGTTTTCAAAAAGAAGGGGGGTGGGGATTACCCCAGAGGATTTCCCCTTAATTTCATTTGATTTGTTTTATTGTCCCATTCAAGAATATATATGGTTTAGGGGTGGGGATCTAGCCCGTTTACAAGTTATCAAAAAGAAGGGGGGTGGGGATGACCCCAGGGGACTCACATTTTATTTTTTATTTGATTTGTTTTATTGTCCCATACAAGAATATATATAGTTTCAGGGTGTGGATCTTGACCGTTTACAAGTTTTCAAAAAGAAAGGGGGTGGGGGTGACCCCCATGGACTTCCCCTATATTTAATTTGATTTGTGTTATTATCCCATACAAGAATATATATGGTTTAGGGGTGGGGATCTCGACCATTTACATGTTCTTTAACAGGAGGGGGTGGGGGTGACCCCAGGGGACTCGCCTTGTATTTCATTTGATTTGTTTGATTGTCCCATACAAGAATATATATGGTTTTGGGGTGGAGATTTTTACCGTTTACAAGTTTTCAAAAAAAAGGGGGGTGGGGGTGACCCCATGGACTTCCCCTATATTTCATTTGATTTGCATTATTGACCCGTACAAGAATATATATGGTTTAGGGGTGGGGATCTCGACCGTTTACAAGTTCTCAAACAGGAGGGGGTGGGGGTGACCATAGGGGACTCACCTTTTATTTCATTTGATTTGTTTTGTTGTCACATTCAAGAATATATATGGTTTCAGGGTTGGGATCTTGATTGTTTACAAGTTTTCAAAAAGTAGGGGGGTTGGGGTGAACCTAGGGACTCCCCAAATATTTCATTTGATTTGTTTTATTGTCCCATACAAGAATATATATGGTTTAGGGGTGGGGATCTCAACTGTTTACAAGATAAAAGCACATTCTCAAATTGAAAGGGGGTGGGGGTAAGAATATATATGGTTTAGGGAGACTTAATTATCTACAAAATGTCTAATAATGAACAGTAAATTTCAAATTTCATTTATACAGTCCTACTAGTAAATTTCAAACTTTATATATACAGTCCTACAGATCTTATCAGGAAACAGAAATTTTTCAAAAAAATCTGTCACTCCAATGATATTATATGCTAAGATATAACCCAGATCTAATTAATAATTAATAATGTAATTAACTTCAAAATGTCTAATAATATAGCTTATAATCATTACCACTTAGGAAATAGATAATTTTCAAATAAATCTGTCACTCCAATTTTTATTGTGAGATAAGACATTATGCTTAGTCATAAACAAGAGTGCACACGCTGAAATGTCTCGCCTTCTTTACTAATCATTGATATTATGTTGATAGTCCTAAATATAAAGCTTTATTACAACTGTCACATAAACTTAACATTAACCAAGTAAACTAAACATTGACCAATGAACCATGAAAATGAGGTCAAGGTCAGATGAACCATGCTAGGCAGGCATGTACAGCTAACAATTCTTCCATACAACAAATATAGTTGACCTATTGTTTATAGTTTAAGAAAAACAGACCAAAACACAAAAACTTAACACTGAGCAATGAACCTTGAAAATGAGGTCAAGGTCAAATAAAACCTGCGTGACTGACATATAGATCATAAAATATTTCCATACACCAAATATAGTTGAACTATTGCATATAGTATTAGAAAAAAAGACCAAAACTCAAAAACTTAACTTTGACCACTGAACCATGAAAATGAGGTCAAGGTCAGATGACACCTGCCAGCTAGACATGTACACCTTACAATCATTCCATACACCGAATATACTACACCTATTGCTTATAGTACCTGAGATATGGACTTGACCACCAAAACTTAACCTTGTTCACTGATCCATGAAATGAGGTTGAGGTCAAGTGAAAACTGTCTGACAGGCATGAGGACCTTGCAAGGTATGCACATAACAAATATAGTTATCCTATTACTTATAATAAGAGAGAATTTAACATTACAAAAAATCTTAACTTTTTTTTCAAGTAGTCACTGAACCATGAAAATGAGGTCAAGGACATTGGACATGTGACTGACGGAAACTTCGTAACATGAGGCATCCATATACAAAGTATGAAGCATCCAGATCTTCCACCATCTAAAATATAAAGCTTTTAAGAAGTTAGCTAACGCCGCCGCCACCGGATCACTATCCCTATGTCGAGCTTTCTGCGACAAAAGTCGCAGGCTCGACAAAAAGATAACAAGAGTAAAATATTTGAAAATTCCACTTTTGGATATTAAAAATGGCGATAACTCACAAAGGAGATATACTAATATCTTGAAAATTGAACTAGACCTTTATTAAGTCCCAAGAAACAACATATTTAAATTTGAAAAAAATTTGTTAAAGCGTTTTCATGTTATTGGGCTGACACTGTTAGGCAGCCGCCCGCCGTACATCACCATTTTAATAACCGATATTTCCTTAAAAAATCCGGTTAAATACTGCGAAATTTCCTTAAAATTACTAATTCAGGGGCAGCAACACCACAATGGGTTGTTGGAAAATTTCAGGGCAGATAGATCTAAACCTGATGAACATTTTACCCGTCAGATTACTCTAAATGCTTTAGTTTCAGAGATATAAGCCAACAACTGCATTTTACCCCTATGTTCTATTTTTAGCCATGGCGGCCATGTTGGTTGGCAGGTAGGGTCGTCGGACATATTTTTTAAACTAGATATCCCAATGATGATTGTGGCCAAGTTTGGTTAAATTTGGCCCAGTAGTTTCAGTGGAGAATATTTTTGTAAAAGTTAACAGATGACGACGGACGCCAAGTGATGAGAAAAGCTCACTTTGCCCTTTTGGGCCAGGTGAGCTAAAAAGGTAAAATTTGTCATTTAAGGGCAATAACTCCTATAAGAATTCGTCTGACAGTTTTGACTTATGTGAACAATTGGTAGAGCTTAACATTCTAAACATTTTAGCTCATTTCATATTTTGTCTATTTATAACGGTTTTCAAAATAATAGACAAATTTTGCATTTTACCCAATGTGCTATTTTTAGCCATGTTGGAACTTAATTACTTTTTTGTTCAATAAACAACACTAAGTTGATTATTACTGTTGTACAAGTGTACATTATTAATTTATTCTTAATTTGAATCAACAATCTTTTGGCATATTTTTTTTTGCTGATGTAAAAAACATCAATAGCATTTTTTGTAAAAACATAATTAATTCAGGTATCATTTGCTTCCATAAACTATCATTCAATATGTACAGTGTCACATAAAGTTATTAGTCACAATTTCACACATAGATCCTAACTGAATATGCTGTTAAGAAGCTTTACAGATGCCAGAAGCTGACTAGGAAATGCTTATCCTTCTGGAGCACCAGAGTTCAACTCCAGTTTTGGTGGTGTTCATGTAGCTCAATAGTGTTTTGTGGACCTTTGTCTGTGTGTCTTTTTTTGTTGAAAATGTCTATCCATCTTAGACATACAAGATTTTTGCTCATTGGTATCTTCTTTTTGTTCATTAGGGAACATGTGTTATAACATCCCCCCCCCCCCCCCCCCCCCCCTCCTTCTGATTTTCCTCAGAAGTAACCATGTTTACCACACTGTCTGATTTTCCTAGTATTAAACTTCTAATATTCTTACCTACTAGGCTGTACTGTTGCTAAAGGAGCCTGCTCACCATCCAGTGTTATAACACTAAAACCTGTCCTTTGTCCCCGTTCCCTGACTTCCTGGGTATAAAACCCCTGCACATTAACTGACTTAGTCTTTAAAACTTTACATATTTCTTTGATAAGTGTTGTTTTCCCTACACCTACAAATTGAATGGCATTGTTGTTATCATAATACCAGTAAGTGAATAAACATGCTTTGCTTATTGTGTGTTTTTTTTTTTGCTGTGCATGTACTGATTTTGTGTCATGGATTGATACCCCATATCCTTTGTTTTTCTATGATAAAAAGATATCAGACTTTCTTAATATGAAAAATAATAAGTGGCATATGTTACCTGTGAAGAAGAGTTGATCGATTGCTTAATGTCCAGTGGCAAATATTTCATGCATTTTCAGGATGAAAGGAGAGTATAAAGTCTGCAATAGTGGATACGAGTTATAGTATGGATGTTTTCAAATATGTCAAAAAATATATTTCTGGGAGTATATTACATTAAATTCCATAAGTTTTTATTGGTTGGAAAAATGTGATCCTTTCATTGTGAAAGCTGATTAATGACCTACTAACATTTCTACGTCTTATTATATTTATACTGCATATAAAATTGTAATTTATACAAAATTTTGACAGTTCTCAGACACATGACAGCTAATAAAATATATCCTTAATCAATAAATACTGAACCAAGTATTTGAAATATATTAGTGTAACTTGACTATAAGAGTTTCTCTCCATGCACCTATAATTGATGTTCATTCAAAATTCTGACCCAATTGTAATTTGTTTTATCAATTCAAAACTGTTTAACTGGTCAGAAATTATATCAACCTGTTCTAGGAAAGCCACAGTCTAGTTATTTGACCAGTTGTACAGTTTGATTTGATGCTTAGCAACAGTCAAGTCACAGTTATGAATCACACACACATTTGCATTTATAATAGTACCTGGCACACCAGTTAGTAAAATAACTCTTGCTGTGTTAGTTGCCATTTATTCATTTCTTCACCATGTTCACTCTAAAAGTATAAATTATAATATAAGGTCACACAAATGTCATTTGAGGAGTAATATTATTTCTACATAATCAAAACTTGTTTGCTGGATTGATTGCACTAATAAAAAAGAAATTCATGTACTTTATATTTTTACATAACTTATGAAAAATCTATGTAAACTGCATTGTAATCAAATAATCATATTTTTTTTTAATTTAAAGTGTGCAGCCACTTCCAGTCTAAAAAAAATCTGATGCCTCTTATAAAGGGAGTGCCACACTTTCAGGACGTTAAGAAATCTTGGAAATGCAACAACTCTTTGAGGAGTCTGGTGCTGTAGGCCAAAGTTTTGTCCGTATCCAATATACAGTATACCCACATTTTCCAGCGGCAGTCATAATTTCCCTGACATTCATCCCGGATGGCCTCTATTCCAGGACCTGCCAATTGTATTTCCTGAACATGCTTGAAATATTTGCCACTGGACGTTAAGCAACCAATCATGGTATATGTAAAAAAAATCTTAATTTCTAAGCTGTCTTCATATAAATTTATAGCACTTTTTCACAAATGTGCAGAACACAGCCTTGGATAAGGGATTTTAAAACATAAGCAAATAACAGATGAAAAAAGGGGGGCTAGCCCAATCCCGTGACAGTTGTTTGCAGAAAAGTCCGTGAATATTTTAGATATTATCAAACAGGGTCTAAAACAAGAAAGGCGGAATACATCTTTTTTCAACATTATTGAATATACATCATCTGACATCATTACAGTTTGTATTCACAACTGAAGTTCTGAACCAATATTTTAGGAGTTCGTGTTTGTATGTTATTGCCTCTAGGGATATTGATAAACCAAAATTACTTAGTTAATTTAAATATTACTACAACATGAATTTTTTGTATTATTTTAAACGCTTAGGCGACACCGTAAAGTTAAAATCAGTTAAGCGCTTATTATTATCGTTTTTAGAAATTAAAGTGTAAGCTAAATTTTGACATTGACAACAACAAAAATTAGCTATTGAGGAAAAATGGGAAACTCGCCAGTGAAACAACATATCGATACAGCACAGAAAACTGGAGCTTGTCAACTCAGTAAACTCGGAATTAAAGAGGTTAGAAAGCGTGAATTTTATTTTTTGTTGGTGTTCAACTTGTTTTTTTAATCAGTTCCCCAATACAATGTATGCTTTTCTTCAGTTTCTTCCCGGTTCATTAAGAGTCAGACTCAATACCTTGATTCACCAAGTGCACCCTAAGTCAAAAGTCCTTCTGGAGTGTACCAAATTTCCAAATGTATAGTACCAAAACATTAAATATGAGGGATGGTCTACAATCTCATAAATGTTACAGGTCCTGTGTCCACCCTTCGCTTACATACACCTTATCGCTATTTGTCCGCCATTACTGGACATCACACAAGTTCCCGTAAAATTTTGACGTCATAATAGAAAATGTCTGACGCCACAATGGAAAAGTGATTGTTGTATGACGTCAAAAGTTCGAGCGGGACAGATTCTCGGGTCAAGCGGGAATAGCGATAAGGTGTATTGTACAAGGATCTGACAGAACTCTGTTCTACTTTCTGTTTAAAGACATTATGGGATCCTCTGGTTTTGTTGTCATGATAGAAACCTTCAAAAATTTGTAGGCAGGCATACCATTGGCTGATGTAATATTACCAGAACAGAAAGTAGAACAGAACATTGTGAGCAAATTATTGACACAGATCTGTAGTTTTAATGAGATGATTACATGAGTAAATCAATGAAAGAGAAAACATAATAACATAATTGAATATTTGTTTTGACATTTTCAGAGACAGTGATCATAATTTAAAATAAGAATACATCTGAATACTCAATAAAATATTCTGTTTTGTTTTATAGTATATAGATCATGTAGATCCAAGTGGAGCCTTCTATCATATAGTCTCCCAAGTATAAATTATCATAAAGATTATAATTTAGGGTTATGAAAAAATGAAGATGTAGTATGATTGCCAATGAGACAACTCTCCACCAAAGACCAAATGATGAAGAAGTAGGCAATTATAGGTCACTAACAGCGGCCTTCAACAATGAACAAAACCCATACTGCATAGCAAGCTAAAAAAGACTCTGAATGACAAATGTAAAACCAATTCAAGAAAGATTTATGCACTAAACAATAAATGATATACAGCAACAAACAACAACCACTGAATTACAGGAGTCGGTTTCACAAAGAAACTTACGACTAAGATTGATCGTAAATATACTGAATTGTTCATGACTTAGGACAGGCACATACAGAATATGGCAGGGTTTAACATGCTTGCAGGCACCCAACCTACCCATAACCTGGTCATTATGTCATGTTTTTTACTTAAACTGTCACAGAAGCATCTAACTCTTAGGCCACACCAAATTAATTTGTGAGTTGCTGAACATTTGAATCTGACAAATAATGTTGTTATAAGAATGCTATAGAAGAATGATTGAAATTTAGTTTGTGTGCGACAATATAGCAAACATTTTGTGAGGTTTATGTTATAATTGTTACAATTGTACATGCTCTTATAAAAATAATTGCACATAGAATTTTAAGAACAGAAGCAGGATTAATTTTCATTTTTTGTTTTCAGTTTCCTGAAGATTTATACCAACTAACTAAAAACTTGAGAACACTTGATTTATCTGAAAATAAACTACATGGACTGCCACAGCAAATAGGAAATTTCACTTCTCTAAAGAGTTTGATACTAAATAACAACAAATTAGGTAAGTGTTGTGTATGTATAAGGACAAGACTTAGCAGTAAGTCCCAGTATTCTTATGAATTGATTGATTGATTTTTGGTTGCTAAACATCCAGTGGCAAATATTTCAAGCATGTTCAAGTTGAGAACAAATTAAGAATAAATAAAATAGGTAGGTCCTGTAATAGAGGCCATCCAGGATAAAGGTCAGGGAAATTTGGACTGCCTCTGGAAAATGAGGGTATATTGGATAGTAGCAGAAATTTAGCCTTGCAACAGGCCACCTACAGACCCCTCAAAGAGTTGTAACGCCAAGGGTTCGCAAACAGCAAGACATTCTCTTTACTTGAGGCATTGGATTTAACGTCCCCATTCTGACTTGACATGGCTGCATACTTGTACATCCTACACAGCCAAACGGACGCCCCACCTAGGCAAGGGTTTTACTGGTGGTTGGAAGAAGATCAAGATTGACCATATTTTTATTCCCAAGGGGGGGGGGGGGAGGGAGGGCTTTGGTTCAGAATAGTTATTTCTAAAATGAATTATAAAATTATTAATAGAAATACCTGTAGTATCCTGAATAAAAAAAAATTCGAAATATTTTTTTTAAACAGTGAAACACAAGAGATTTTTATTTACAGAATTTGTTTATCAAACAAGGAAAAATAAATTACAACAAAGTTATAAGTAAAATGTTTTATTAGTATTGATACAATTTATTTTTGACTTACTAACTTCTATACAAATTTCATCAACTATTACTGCAGCTATTGTAAAGCTGTAGTCAGAGCAAATGTACCAAGACTGCATATAGCCACAGATAAAAAAGTGTTTTGTCAAAATCAACACAGAAGATAACATTTCCTGAATCAATGTTTATTTAGAATATAAATTGATAATAGAAAAGAGAACATTTGGAATGACTTATATTGACTAAAACACTCATAATTTCATTAAAATAAACAGTAATCGACCAGGTAGGGAGTGCTTTTTTTTTTATAGTAATGTCCACTCAAAATTTCAATTGGCCAGTATTTACTGCCAGCATGGTCTATACATGTATTGACATTTTTTTTGCCAACCTCCAAAAAAAAAGGTTTCAACTTTGTTTAAGAAGGTTATATTAGAATATAATATCCTTGATTTATCAGCATTCATATTGGAACCTATCCTTATCAAGAAAAAAATGAAAGCATGAAATATATATGTTTATACTTACTTAACATTATGATCCAGTACAGAATCCTCACGTTTTCTCTTCACCAGATTCATTTAGTGTGTTTTGCTCTCGACTATTTCTGTTGCTGCTATGTTATGTTAATGTACTATTTTATAACCTTATGTTGTTTGTTTGCTGGCTTATAAATGTTTACATTTTACCTTCTTTTCACAAAATGAACATAACAATAAGGTTGACAGACTATTTTCGTACATGTATGTATCTGAAAAATTTATGATAAAAAATGAAACAGGATTACATTCTTCGACAATGGTTTATTGCAGTTTTGTTCAAACTTGGGCCAATGTCATAAAAGTAAATTGTTGTAATTATTTGAAAACATCTACCATAGTTGAACTTTCATTTTTCAGAAAATCTACCAGCAGAAATAGGAAATTTAAAGAAACTTGAAACATTATCTGTAGAAAACAACCACATAACATCAGTACCTTCCTCTATAAGTAATCTGACCAATCTGAGAACAGTAAACCTATCTGGTAACCATATAACAGTGTTCCCTGCTGACCTTAGTAAACTTAGGCAGCTTGATGCTTTAAATCTGTCACGGAATGGAATTACAACCATTCCAGAAAGCGTTTCATCTTGTCAGGCTATAGAAATAAATCTTAACCAAAACCAGGTAAGTTACAATATACTCGCATCTTTTCAATGCATGAGTACTTGTTAAATGAATTTTCATGAATGAAATATTATAAGTAAATATCTGGAAGCCTTAATGAGCAGTATGAAGGAAATGTAAAGATAATTTCAGTTTATTTGATCTTACATTTTTAAGAATAAATTTAGCAAAATTATATTTTGGGGAGATGAGTTGTGTATAGAGGGATTTACCTTGACTGTCATGACTGTTAAATAACAGTTTCATAGCCAGTTATATTTTTGTATTTTCTGTTTGGACCAAAGCTTAAGTCATCAGCAGATTATCAGGGTATTGGGGACTAGCCTATTTTGCAGTTTTAAAGCAAAATCTGGTCATTTGGGAATAAAATTAGTTAGTAAATTGATAGTTTTTTACTTTAATATGTAAATTTTGCATGCTGTAGATTTTTGCAATAATTCTTATAAGGAATGAGCCCTTTTAATGTACATGTACCATTGAAGATCCATGTCCAAGCTGATACATGCAATGAAATTGTATCCAGGGGTCATACAAAATTCATACTTCATACAGCTGTCTTAGGGAACATTATACTATTGTTTATTGAAGTGATGCTATATATTAGATCTTCTTAAGTGACACCGTATTCTGTGAAACTATAATCTTAACTGTAAAAAGTATATTTTGAAAACATCAAAGTTGTTTTTAGATATATTTAAAATGAATCAACCCAGCTTTCATTTGCTAAAACACGGTCTACTTTAACAAATATTTAATGGAACATTTAAAATAGCAAATGCACATTCAAAAACTGAAACATATGACAAACTTCTTTAGTTGTGCAGATATGTATATTTATAACTTGAGTTGGAGTTTGTCAGCTAGAGATTTTCTTTTCAAATTGATTAAAATAACTCGTTATTTCATTTATAAATTGACATTTTGAGCAGGTCAACCCTCTATAAATCTGAAGATTTGTACCTCCAATCTGAAGGTTCACATTGCATAATGTTAATGATTTGAGTTGTACATTGTAGGTATCTGTTTTACCTGAAAGTGTTTCCAAATGTCCACGATTGAAAGTATTACGGTTAGAAGAAAACTGTTTAGAAATCTCAGCATTTACACCGCAAATTATGAAACATTCACAAATAGCATTGTTAGCTATAGAGGGAAATGTGTTTGATTTTAAACAGTTTAACAATCTAGATGGTTATGAGGAGGTAAGGTTAAATAATTAATTCCTGTTAAAAGTTTAAATCTTAAAGGATCAGAAATTTTTTAAGATTAGATAGGCGTTATATAAAAACTGGTTGAATTACAGATGTTCTCAAGAATGTATAATACATTCTTACCTCATTGATACATCAGGATTTTTTTTTTTTGAGAATGCATTTCATTCATTTTTATTCTGCCTTATGCATTTGAAAGAATATTTCATTTAGAGTAAAATTATTTTTGTAATCTGCATTAAGAACTTTTGGTCAGAAAATTTTTCAAATCTTTGGTTTAACCCGGCTAGGGATCAAACCAATGACTTCCCACACTTGAGGCAAGCATGCTACCGTAAGAACCCAGGAAGTTAAAAATAATTGTTGACAAAACAGTAGTAGTATAGAAACAGAACTGTTATAGAATATTTTTCACTGATTTAATTTTTAAGATGAAAACACACATTATTCTATTTAAACAACTTCCAGGATCTAATATTTTTTACTTTTAATTATAGTACATGGAAAGATTTACAGCAACAAAGAAAAAGTTCAACTGATCAAACCTAAAAGCAGAACAGATGTTCTAAAATTCCAGTTGATGACTGCCTGGATCCCTGTCATAATCACAGACACAGTACTTAAGCAGACTTAATTAACTGTGGTCATATGTACAATACTATACAACATAGATTTATTTCGTCATGTTCTAATATTTCTATATAAAGGTCAGGGTTATTCCATTAAAATGAATGTTAGAGGTAGAAAGGGAATTTTTAGTTTTGGACATGTGTCTTTGGTCATTTATGAATGTTGTATGTCCTTTCATAAATGCAAAATTATTCCAGAAAGTATGTTTGTTGTATGTGGATTTTGGAAATCCCTTCATACTCTCAAATTAAGAGATAGCTGTATTGTATTTGAAGCTTTGTGGAAGCCCATCGGTAGTTTTACTGTCGCAAATATCCATTTACCTGTGTCCGTGTATCTCTATTCTAATGCAAAATAAACAAATCATTCAATTTTAGTCATTATTTCATTGCAAATTTTAATTATACAAAAATTTTGCGAAATGATGTTATCTTCTTTGGCACCTAAACTAGGTGACGTCATAGGTATGTTTCCGGTGTCAAACGTAAACAGCGGGTGTTTTCTAGCTTATTGTCCACCTCAGAATGCAATTAAATTTGATAAAGAGAAGATTTCTTACATTGTCTAAGTGCAAAATGTGAGATTTTTTGCTTATCATTGGAAAAATTACATGTCAATACATTCCAGCATTCAAAATGTCGGCTTCCTTAGTTACAGACAGGGAGATAGAGAATTTTACGCTGATTGTCATCCAATCAGAACCATTGGTACAAAATAATTGCACTAGAATACTTTATTGGAACAGCCATTAGAGGAATGGATTGATATAGAACTGAATTTACTTTGCAGTTAACTTAAATTATATATACATATTATAGATGTATTTTATTTTGTATTGAGTTTTAATATATGAATTAATTTAAAATTATGTCTGTGACAACAAAAATAATTGTGCAATATGTGCTATAAGTGAAATGAATTTGTAAGAATATAGAAGGAATATCCTATTACTGACAAATATAAGCTCTACCCCATATTTTTAATTGTTATGGAATCCTTTGTACAAAATTTTATAATTACACAGTGTTATGTAAAAACCTGATGATTTGGTCTACAACTTTGTTGAAATAGAGGCAGTCAGCTGTGTTGTTAGATTATAAACCTTTGTGTGAATCACTGATAATGAAACAAGCATTTACAGTCTGTTTATAGCATTAAGCGTTTATAGTCTGTTTTTTTATAAAAACTAGAGGTCTTTGAATGTCCCTTTGGTATCGTTCGCCTCTCTTTTATATTTCACAAAAAATATTACGACTAAAATAGATCCTAATTATACTGAATTGTTCATTTCCTACCAGAATTTTTGTTGTAAGATTACTTGTGAAACAGAAGCCTGGTTCTCAACTTTGTCAAAGGTGTGCAGTAAGTTATGTTGCAAAATTGTAAAGCTGTGTGTGTCGATGATAATGCATCAAGCAGTTAAGAATATGCTTGGTGAACAAGTATCTAAAAAGATTTTTAAATCATTATCATTGTAGGTTCAATCTCTCTACTGTGACCTTTTAGGCAAGAATCTTTGTTATGCTGTTCATTTTGTACACCAGTTCAGTGTCTGCATGTATGTAATGGTAGATTCCTCCGTTATTCAGAGCACACAGTCTTTCTTATTCTGCTCAAAAAACAATTCACTGATATCGTGTTCATTTGGCACACCAATGCATTGCAGGTCTGTGTCAATATCCATGAATTGAGGATAAATGTGTATATGATGTATGTGTTTTCCCTAGATTATTAATGCTTAATGAGGCCTCATCTTTAAAAAATTGAAATTCCCTTCAACTATGTATTGTCCCCATCCTAAAAAATTCACGACCATCATCCCTTTAATTATATGGGAACTCTTTTTTAGATAAATAAAAAACTTAACTTCTAATTAAAATCTTATTTATATAGAATACATTTTTATAAGCAGAGATTGAAGTGTCAGTCCTTTCATCTGCCTTGAGGCATATATCTTTTGTGCAAGACCGATGTGAAAGAACATATTGTTCAGGACTGACTTAAATATGTACAGAAATCGTTTGTCTTAGGTATGATGTAAAAAATATGTATTCATCATTAAATATATGCTATTTAGGCTGTGATTTTATTTTATGTGAAATAATTATTAATAGTAAAATATTTATATAACTTAGTAAATATCAACGAGAGGCTCTAAAGAGCCAGTGTTGCTCACCTCTCTATGTTCATCTTCAACAATGGCCACTCTCCAACATTGTAGACTAGAATATAGTTCAAGACTTAAACCTTTTTTTGTGGATCATGTCTTGCTGATTATTTTTATTGTTTACAGTTTCTCTCTTTTTTCTATAACTTTGGCCCAAAATGAGAAAAAGGTAAAAATCATCAATTAATGGCAATTACTCCTGTAAATAATATACTCAGACAATTTTGGCTCTGTTGACCTATATGAAATCTTGTCTTGCTGATCAGTTTATTTGTTTACAGTTTTTCTGTTTCCCCTTAAGTTTTCACCAAAAAAGCAAAAGTGATAAAAATCATTATTAAAACATTAAAGGCAATAACTCCCATAAAGGGTTTGAGAGGATAAATTTCTGTAAAAAATAACGCAGGACGACGACAGATTATGGACGCCGAATGATGATAAAATTGTTTTAATTTTCTGTGAAATACATTATTTATCATATATTATAAATAGCCCTATGTTTTGCATTGGAATGTAAAATAAGAACCAAGACATCCAGTTTACTAAATAAAGCAGTATAATTAAAACTGTACTAAACATAAAAGTATTTTCCTTCAAATTTACTTATTTTTAATTGCAATTTCATATTTATTTTTTAAAAATTTTTGTTGGCTTAGAAACTGATTTGATTTGTTTAAAATTATATGTGCCATTGTGCATTTCTGATTATTTCATTCTGTTGTGGGTTTTTTACAATTAGTTGAGAGAGAATAATGTTATGAATAATATGTAAAATAATAAACTACCAGGGATTGTGAATAGACTAAACTTTATTCCTTTTTTATTGTGCTTTTATTTATTATTGTTATTTATTAATCAAAAACAGTTTTGGTTTGTTTTGACATGCTTGATGCCACCATCAGGATATATACAATGAGATTTTTCTTCCTGAGATACTCAATTCAGGTAACTCAAATATGATGTAGTACCTTTGTCCGAGCAAAGCCTGGGGGAATGGAATGGAATTGCAAGTAAAGTGTTATTCAATTCTGAAAAAATGAATTTTAACATAAACTGTACAGTGTCAGACAATATCTTTTCAAACCTATTATTCATTCTTTTTTTGCAAATATTTTACCCACACTCTTTAACAAAATTTATTATCTATAGAAACCATTATGAATTATGGCATCATAGTTGAGGTACTGTACCTGAATTTAGTACCTCAGGAAGAAAATCTTTATTTTTATCCTGGTGATGGCTTCAAGCACACAGAAACATTTCGATATAAAATAGATAATAATGGCGATCCTATGAAGTGTTATGCCCTGATTATTCTTTATTGTTTGTTTTTTTATGTATAAAAAATAATGTCAAAAATAAATATATATAAATATTTCATTTGTTATTCATATACATGTTTGACTACTTTTGTATCCTCCTGCAAATGTAATTATGTGTCAATTTTATTGAGGTTTGGTATAACACACTGCCCAGGAAAAACTGGTACCATTTATCATCAAGTTGACCTTTGATTGGACTTATTGAAAAGACGATTAAGTTATTCTGTCTCTGTGATTTTTGTACCTATAATCAGAAATTTTTGCAATAAGAAAAATACCAGTACATCTTCTTTATGAGTTTTTATTTTGTTGTTCACTTCACTTGTACATGAGAGGTTTAGTGTCCATTTAAAATATGTTCAATGTAGATACTGGCTTTAAAGTAGATGCTGGTCACACATATTTCTTGTAGGATCTTGTCCTAAACAATGTTGATTTGTTACACTGTATTTGTAATTTTGAATTTTAGATAGCACAAGAGAACACACACTGAAATGTCTCTCCTGCTGTACTGATATTGATTGATTTTATGTTGAAAGCCTTTAAGATAAAGGTTTTACTACAAGTATCACACCATACACCAAATAAAGTTGATCTACTGCATATAGAAACAGACATAGCCAAGAAAACTTGACCAATGACCAATGAAGCAATAAACAAGAGTACACATGCTGAAATGTCTCGCCTGCTTTATTGACCATTGATTTTATGTTGATAGTCCTAAATATAAAGTTTTACTACAACTATCACATAAACACAAACATGATCCAAAAAAATGAGGTCAAAGTCAGATAAACCAAAACAAAAATACATGTACAGCTTACAATCATTCCATACACCAAATAAAGTTGACCTATTGCTTATAGTATACAAGAAATAGACCAAACCATGAAAACTTTATATTGACCAATGAACCATGAAAATGAGGTTAAGGTCAGTTGAATACTACTAGAGAGACATATACACCTTACAGGGGTAAATTCAGTAAATAAATATACGTCATCAGGGACCGCCCATTTGGGGGAGAGCTTTCTGTATAAAACTGAAGTCATGTGCTCTTCTGATTGGTAGATAATGTTTGTAATAAATATTTTTTGATAGATGGATAAAAACTAGAGTTGAAAAAAAATAAAAAATAAATGCTGAATGTACTAAATTTTTTTACTACAGGGTTGAAAAGTAATGGGGGTCAGTGAAGGAATTAAGTGCGAATCTACAGTGTTTGTAAACAAGGCCATGTGAATGCCCAAAAATGCCGCATGACCCTATGTTTTTATTGTTGCAAATGATAGGGCTACATTTGTACTTTCATGAATGATATATGAAATTTTCTAATTTCTAAAGGTAAATCAGGTATAAATTTAATTCAAGACATAGATTAGCATTACAGTCAATGGGAGATTTTTTACTGAATTTACCCCTATAGGAAAATATGCATTCTGTCACTGTACTTGTCGAAGGCCACACAATAATCACAAAACTTATTTCCTGTGTATATTAATGTAATGGAAGCATTTTGGAACCATTTGAAGTTGTTTTTTACACAAATTTCTATGTTTAACTTGGCTATCCAAGATGCACTGAGTGTACTGTGAGAGGAAGCATGGGGTATATGGTAAAAATCAGTTTTTGTGTCCAGATTGAAAGAAACAATAGAAATTACACTTGAGAGTTATGATATCAATGAAAGGCATAAATATTCCCCCCATTTTACAACACATTTTGCACATATTTCTCCTCATTATGTGTAAAATCATATGGAAAATCAGAATTACCTCCCTTTGACAGTGTATTTTTTTTAGCTGTGTTTCACCATGTTAAGTTGTAGAACAAGTTGTAAATAAGCACTTTTCAAGTATTTTAACACTTGAATAATCTGACCGCATGAAGATAATCATTTATTTTTACATAACGCATTGCGTTTCTTTATTTAAAAAAAATTGTAGATAACTTTTATGATTACATGCCCATCATCTATGAAACTAGTGTTGAAATGTTTGTAATTGGATTACTATGTTAAATAATTGCTTTTAAATATTCTAAATTGTTACTTTAATCTTCCAAATGCAAAGTTTGGTCATACCCAGTCTTATTTTTTCATATTTGGCACTTTTTTCTACTTCAGTTTTGTCTGTCTAGTTTTGGTGAAGAAACCATCCTGATGTTGGGGTAACAGGAATTTCTGCAGAGTGATTGTCAATGACATTTTGTGAACTTTACAAGTAATTAAAACACAAATTTAGTAAAATGAAACATAATTGTTGGTTTTTTTTGTATGAAACTGCTTAAAAAAGCCTTTGAAAAGTGTTTTTGTGGTCTTTTCAGGGTATTTAATCAAAAACTTCCATATAAGGCATTATTTAACTAAGAGTACATCAAGACTTTAGTTTCTAGATGTACTTGCAATACTGGTCAAAGCAAACACAGAAAACAATTCATATTTATTAAGCATAGTATTTTACACCATTCTTTTACAAACAGTCAATATGCAACTTTATATACCAAATATACATTGGCCGCAGTATGGGCTGTAGTATAAATTTTCCTCTATCTTTACAAGTTCAGCATTTATGAATGTTGTATTGAAACTGGAACTTTCAAATTGGATACATTACATGATTATTACAAAAAAAGAGGGAAAAGCTACTAAAAAGTCCCTTATAGGGGTAAATTCAGTAAATAAATATACGTCATCAGGGACCGCCCATTTGGGGGAGAGCTTTCTGTATAAAACTGAAGTCATGTGCTCTTCTGATTGGTAGATAATGTTTGTAATAAATATTTTTTGATAGATGGATAAAAACTAGAGTTGAAAAAAAATAAAAAATAAATGCTGAATGTACTAAATTTTTTTACTACAGGGTTGAAAAGTAATGGGGGTCAGTGAAGGAATTAAGTGCGAATCTACAGTGTTTGTAAACAAGGCCATGTGAATGCCCAAAAATGCCGCATGACCCTATGTTTTTATTGTTGCAAATGATAGGGCTACATTTGTACTTTCATGAATGATATATGAAATTTTCTAATTTCTAAAGGTAAATCAGGTATAAATTTAATTCAAGACATAGATTAGCATTACAGTCAATGGGAGATTTTTTACTGAATTTACCCCTACAATCATTCCATACACCAATTATAGTTGACCTATTGCTTATAGTTTAAGAAAAATAGACCAAAACACAAAAAATTAACATTGAGCAATGAACCATGAAAATGTGGTCGAGGTCAAATAAAACCTCACAGACTTACATGTACATCGTAAAATATTTCCATACACCAAATATAGTTGACTTATTGTATACAGTATTATAAAAACAGAACAAAACACAATAAACTTCACTTTTACCACTGAACCATGAAATAAGGTCAAGGTCAGATTACACCTGCAAGTATGACATGTAACAATCATTCCAACACCAAATATTGTAGACCTATTTCTTAAAGTATCTGAGATATGGACTTGACTACGAAAACTTAACCTTGCTCACTGATCTATGAAATGAGGTCAAGTGAAAACTGACAGACATGAGGACCTTGCAAGGTAGGCACATACCAAACATAGTTATTCTATTACCGGTACTCATAAGAGAGAAATTAACAATACAAATAAATGGGGAATGTGTCCATGGGACAGATGATGCCCCCGCTTGCATATAACATTATAAATGGACATAACTCAAGAACGGTAAAAGTGACGCTACCCAAATTGGTACTGTTCTGAGTTTTGTGGTAATAAGCATTGTGTATAAGTTTCATAGCATTTGGTTGAGGCAAATTTAAGTTAGAGAACAGAAACGAAAAATTCAGCAATTTTTCCATTTGTAAAGGGCATAACTCTAGAAAGGTAAAAGTGACGCCACCAAAATTCAAACTTGATCTGTGTTTTGTGGTAATAAGCATTGTTATAAGATTCATAACATTTGGTTGAGGCAAACTTAAGTTAGAGAACAGAAACGAAAAATTCAGCAATTTTTCCATTTGTAAAGGGCATAACTCTAGAAAGGTAAAAGTGACGCCACCAAAATTCAAACTCGATCTGTGTTTTGTGGTAATAAGCATTGTTATAAGATTCATAACATTTGGTTGAGGCAAACTTAAGTTAGAGAACGGAAATGAAAAATTCAGCAATTTTTCCATTTGTAAAGGGGCATAACTCTAGAAAGGTAAAAGTGACGCCACCAAAATTCAAACTTGATCTGTATTTTGTAGTAATAAGCATTGTTTATAACTTTTATAATATTTGGTAGAGGCAAAATAAAGTTAGAGAACAGAAACCAATTTCGGACGTACAGGCGGATAAGGGTAAAACTTTAATGCCAACTCCTATACATGGGGGGCATAAAAATCTTAACTTTTTTTAAAGTAGTCACTGAACCATGAAGATGAGGTCAAGGAAATTAAGACATATGACAGAGGGAGAATTTACACCATAAAGCATCTATATACAAAGTATGAAGCATCCAGGTCATCTACCTTCTGAAATATTAAGCTTTAAAGACGTTAGTTAACGACACTGTTGGATCACTATCCCTATGTCTCACGTTCTGCGACAGAAGTCACAGGCTAGACAAAACTTAGGTCAAGGTAAGATTTTATCTGCTAAACAGAAATGTACACCTTAAGATCTTTTGATACGCCAAATATAGTTGATTTATTCCATATAGTATCTGAGAAGAGGACTAAACGGCTGAATTTCAACATTGACCAATAAACCATGAAAATGATAAAAAATTGTGCGGGATGTACAAGTGTGCAGCCACTTCCAGTCAGAATAGAGACATTATATCCAATGCCTTGTGGAAAGAGAGTGCCATACTCTATGGACATTATGAACCCTTGCAACAACTCTTTCAGGAGTCCGTAGGTGGACTGTTGCAAGGCTAAATTTCTGCCCCATCCAATATACCCTCATTTTCCATAAGTGGCAGTCCAAATTTCCCCAACCTTTAACCCAAACAGCCTCCATTACAGGACCTACTTTCTGTTTATTATTAATTTCTTGTCCTGAACATGCATGAAATATTTGCCAATGGACTTTAAGCAACAATCAATCAATCAATCAATCAATCAATCAATCAATCAAAGTCAGATGAAACCTGCCAGTTGACCATTTACACCTTACAATCATTCAATACACAAAATATAGTTGACCTACTGCTTATAGTATCTGTTAAACAGACCTACTCATGTACCTTTAACCTTGATCACTGGTCCATTCAATGGAGTTGAGGTCGAGGTGAACCCTGTCTGTCAGACAAGTAGACTTTGCAAGGATCTCATATACTCAAAAAGTATTCAATTCCTGACAAACAACACATATAATTAAGGGCATAATATGATACAGTTTTGATCCTACAGTGATTTTTTTTTACGGCAATTTGCATACACGCTATTTTTTATCAGTCAATTCAAATACGTTATAAAAAATATACCTTCATGTGCTACTTTTAGAGATAAATGGGGTCCAAATTTTGGACATTTGCTCAAAATTTCACTTTCTTGGAAAATTTCTATCCTTTGGACAGACATACCCAATTTTTTTGTTTTAAAAGATAAACACAAACGGTTTTTTGTAAAAACATTTGGAATATCTTCTTTTCACATTGAAGCTTTATATTTAAGTAACAAATCTTTGAAAATAATTTATTTTAATTAATATGTCATGCTTTTAGAAAATAAACTGTTGACACAGAGATATATCTCGTCTATTGGCATAAAATTCAGAAAAAGACAATCTGATGGACAGCAACATTGCTTATTAATTCAGTCACTGGACCATGATCTAATGGGAAGCGTCTGAAAATGGTCAACAAACTGAGATGTACAGATAGTAATGAAACTTTATAGAAAATATCGTTGTTTATTGTAAGTAGTTCCTATCAATATAATTTAAGCAGAAAAACTTAACATTGAAAATTGCTAATTAATTCAAAGTCACTGGACCAAGTCCTAGGGGGCAGGGCCTGAAAATGGTTGACAAACTGGGATGTACAGAACCAATGAAACTTTATAGAAAATATTGTTGTTTATTGTAAGTAGTTCCTATCAATATAGCTTAAGCAGAAAACTTAACATTGAAAATTGCTAATTAATTCAAAGTCACTGGACCATATCCTAGGGGACAGGGCCTCAAAATAGTTGTCAATCTGATATGTACTGATATTAATGTGACTTCATACAAAATATCATTGATCTATCACAAGTAGATCCTATCAAACTAACTTGAGCAGAAAACTTTTTACATTGAAAATTGCTAATTAATTCAAAGTCACTGGATCATGTCCTAGGGGGCAGGGCCTCAAAATAGTTGTAAAACTGATATGTACTGATAGTAATGCAACTTTATATTAAATATCAATGATCTATCACAAGTAGTTCCTATCAAACTAACTTAAGCAGAAAACTTAACAATTGTTGACACCAGAGCTGTTTCCGGAGCCGGAAAAGCAATCCCTATGTAAAATATCTAATTTGAAAAAAAATACATTGGTGATTTGTTCATAAAAATTGGTACAAATAATCTTCATACATAATCAAGCCAAATGTCATTTTAAAAAAGAGGGGTCCATGTACTCGTTTTCAAGCTAATGATTAAAATCAGCGGAAACATGCATCTTTTCCCGATATGTCAAAGTTTGACATCTCAAAAAATAACATTTTATGTTAGCAACTTCATTATCTCCCCTGTAACTGTATCATATGCCCTCAACTCATGAGCTACTCACAATCGTAAATTACTAGTTATTCTTATAATTACAGTGACTTTTAATGTACTAAATAAAGAAAACGTGTATCTTTTTCTTTGCAGTCTCACTTTGTTTTGATGCAAAGTCATTGACAATGTCTTGACAACAATTATTGTTGTATGACCCCAGAGCAGTGAAATGACAGGATTTATATCACATATTTAATTATCAGTTTTTATTTGACATGGAAATTGCAGTATTTCATTGCAATCAATGTAATAATTATCGTTGTTACAACTCTTTGAGACAATAAACAAATCATCCATATTTGATTTGAAATTTCCCATGAGAATTATATGCATGTTGACTCATCTTCAATGGAAAAATGACCATTTAGCGAGGACCTTCTTAACAAAAAAGAAACTTTGAATTTAAACCAGGCCAATTCAGTAAATTAAGACAATATAATGATATGAAGATTTTATTCAGACTGTATTACAATAGCTGTCATTTGACTATTGCCATAACATATCACTTAAATATACATTCATTCTGTCTGTGAGTCTTTAAACCATAATTGAATTTAGCATGATTTTTAAGCGATTGTTTTTCGTAAAATGGTGGTGAATTTGATCAAGCAATGTTTATAATGTCATTGTGACAATGTTTCTAATGAAAGGAATTTAAAATGTGAACTTTTTTTTTACATCAATTGTTTAAACCACTACAATACTACATCTTGATAATGCCTTTGTTTAAATGATAAATAGAAATGATTATAAAAACTGCTACAAAAATAAATAATTCACAGAAAACAAATAATATATTACAAGTAAATAGTCCTTCAGTTTAAAAATTATTTGAAATCATTATCTGAAGTTTCATATTGGTTCAAAGTAAAATAATTCAACAAAATATTCAATAAGAATTTCTTTCTTTCTTTTGAACATGGCATATGAAAATTTTTTATCAGAACATCATAATTAAATTTTTTTTTTTTGTGAAATGGAATGTTATAAAACTTCAGAAAAAGAAGGTAGTTTGACCACATTTTTAAGTCAATTCTGATACACCAGAAGGTGATCGATCTTCCTCTTATCCAATATAAACCACTAATGGCAGCTACACAAATTTCCAAGATGTCTGACATTAATGTAACATAGCTGGAACTTTGACAAAAGAATGAATGGATCCTTTTTCTGTGCAGATTTATAGATTATTTTCTATTTTCTACATACATTTTTTTGACAAAAAATCACATGACATAAATAGTTAACATATATATTTATACATGAGTATTGCACAAAGTAAAATTGACATTCATAATAAAAAATGCTTTTCTCTATCACTAACATCTTCCTATGTACACATATAATATATAATAATAATAATAATGATAATAATAATAATAATAATAATGATAGAATGATAAATATAACAATGAATGGATAGCATTGGAAAGCCAAATTGCCAGGAATTGCCATAAAACATAATCGGCAGTACATGTATGTGTAAATTTTTCAGAAATGGAATAGTATTGTATCGTATTGTTAATGTATGTCAAATATCATATAAGTAAACCAAAATTATTTTCTTTCTTTGAGCAATTCATGAGTGAAATTTGATTGATGAATAATGGGTGGAGGAAAATAAATATATTTACAGCAACAATGACTGGAATGTAAATTACTTAAAACATTTTAACAAGCAGCTCACCTCTTACAAGTCCCTCCTTTTAGAGCCCTATGTCCTATCACAAAACACTTAGTTGCTGAGAAATTACAGATTTTAGGCTGATTATGAATGATCATACTGGCTTTATTGTCTTAGATTGAAACTTAAAAAAATTATAATTTCCAAAAATGTATTCCTTCCTTTCTATAGATTTAAAAATATGTTGAAAGAAATTCTATCTCAAATAATATCTTTTCATGTTATTAGATGTACTTGAAACAATGAACTACTTTACACCTATTCACAGAAAAATTCAACATTTTTTAAAAATATAGTTTTTACTCTATGTCAGATAAATTTAAATCTATAAATGTTCAATTTGCCACTTAACACCCTGTATAATATTTAGAACATTCTTATTCATATCAGAAACATTTTCTATTCTTCTTCTGAATCTCATAAAGATCACAATTTTGGCACCCCCAGTCATATAAAGCATGATAAATCTAGACCTAACTTATTTACACTATAATACAGACTTTCTGTACTGGTGTTACCAATCCCTCAAGTTTCTCGTCTTTGCATATTTTACATCACAGCAGTTAGTCCCAATCTGATTTAAGTACAGATCCTGTGCCCACAATTTGCCTATCCTCCATTCTACTTCCTGTTTTAAAGACCATTCGGGATCCTCTGATTTTTTCATAATAATACACACCTTCAATAAAATGCTTCGCTGGGCGCAGCTTGATACGACCGCAGAGGTCGAACCCTGAACAGTTGGGGCAAGTATGGACACAACATTCAAGCTTGATACAGCTCTGAATTTGGATTGTGATTAAATATTTGACACAGCATAGGTTTCTGACACAGAAAGAATGTGGTCTCAGAACTTGATTTTTTTTAATTTACCTATTATGGTCCAATGTCCAAAATCAAAATACATGGTTAGATTCAGCATATCAAAGAACCCCATATATTCAATTTTTGTTGAAATCAAACAAAGTTTAATTTTGGACCCCAACTTGGACAAACTTGAAAACTGGGCCCATAATCATAAATCTAAACACATGTTTAGATTCAGCAGATCAAAGAACCCCAAGAATTCAATTTTTGTTAAAATCAAACTAAGTTTAATTTTGGACCCTTTGGACCTTAATGTAGACCAATTTAAAAAACAGGACCCAAAATTAAAAATCTAAATACATGGTTAGATTTGGAATATCAAAGAACCCCAATAATTCAATTTTTGATGAAATCAAACAAAGTTTAATTTTGGACCCTTTTGACCTCAATATGAACCAATTTGATAGCGGGGCCCACAAATAAAAAATCTGAATACATGGTTAGATTCAGCATATCAAAGAACCCCATATATTCAATTTTTGTTGAAATCAAACAAAGTTTAATTTTGGACCCCAATTTGGACCAACTTGAAAACTGGGCAAAAAATCAAAAATCTAAATACATGTTTAGATTCATCATATCAATGAACCCCATATATTCAATTTTTGTTAAAATCAAACAAAGTTTACTTTTGGACCCTTTGGACCTTAATGTAGACCAATTTGAAAACTGGACCCAAAATTAAAAATCTAAATACACGGTTAGATTCAGCATTACAAATAAATAAATGTGGTCAAAGATTTTACAAATCTAATGCGCCATACTGTGCAATTAAAGATTACCTCTTGAAATTTTTCAATATTTGAAATTTGAAAAAAAAAATATTTGAAGAATAATTCTTTTTAATTTCTGAAATCTGAAAATGAGAAAAAATTGACCCCCCACAATTTCTTTTTACCCCCCCCCCCCCTTTATCCCCCAAAAAATTCTTTCCCTCAAGATATGGTCATAATCTCAATTCAAATTTCCAATGGAGTTTGCAACCATAATTACCCATTTAAATTTACCATAGTGCTAACTTAATCTATTTTATAATAGAATTTAAAATATAGTGTCAAATCTTTCATATGGATTTTTTTGTAAAAAAAAAGATGCAAAATTTGCAGATATTTTTACTGGTCTTCCTTTATAAATATGCATTTCTTTAAACATAATTTAAAAGCAGTGTAAGGGAAGTAACCAAAACGTTGTATTTGGATTACCTCCCTTACACTGTTTTAAATTATCTTAATTGTTCATTAACCATTACTTTATACATAATTTAAAAGCAGTGTAAGGGAGATAATTTCAATGATGTATTTGATTTATCTCCCTTACACTGCTTTAAATTATGATTTGTACTAAAATATTTGTCCATTAACCAGGACAACCTTGTTTTTCCCCCTTTTTTGCCCCTAATTCCTAAACGGTTTGAGCAATAACACCCCCCCCCCCCCCCAAAGCAAATCCTAACCATCCCTTTGTGGTATGGAAACTTGTAGTATAATTTCAGAGAGATCCATACACCGTTCCACAGTTATTGCCTGGAAACTAGAAAATGCTTATTTTTGGCCCCTAATTCCTTAACTGTTGGTACCATAACCCCCAAAATCAATCTCCACCTTCCTTTTGTGGTATTGAACCTGATGGTAAAATTTCAAAGAGATCCATTCACTTAAACTAAAGTTAGAGTGCGAAAACCAATGTGTCTTCGGACGACGACACCGACGCCGACAAAGACGACGCCAACGATATACCAATATATGACCGCAAAAATTTTTTGCGGTCGTATAAAAATTTGGAGGCAGAAATTTCATTGGCTGACATTGTAATAACCAGAGCAGAAAGTAGGACATAGTGTTGCCAGATCCTTGTGGTGACACATGATTTGCCTACCCACCTTTCTACTTTCTGTTTTAAAGACCATTCAGGACCCTCTGATTTTTTCATAATAATACACACCTTCAAAAATTTGGAGGCAGAAATTTCATTGGCTGACATTGTAATTACCAGAGCAGAAAGTAGGACATAGTGTTGCCAGATCCTTGTGGTGACACATGATTTGTATTTCAATCAGATTGCAGATAGTCCATGAATTGATTCATTTAACATGTACCGGTAACTTAACTTCAAATTAAAAATCAAACAGAAACCAAAAATAAAATGTAAGACAATTCATCACAAGAATAATTTCTTACTTCTGAATAAGTTGCAGTTAAACAGTTCATTGTCAAATGCTGGTAATTTTTTTAATTTACAAATAATATTACAATGATTTGGTTGTTAATGTTAAGAAATATAATATATTGTTTACAAAGCACTATATATCAGTTTAAAACCATCATGTGAAATAAAAACTCATAACTCAAAATCAAATCAAGTAAGGGGAATACTCTGTAATGGATGAATTTCAACATTTATAATTCAACACACAGTGTTGAACAGTTAGGCAATAGGTATTACCTCCTAGATTCTCATCCATTTTGTGAATAGACAAATTTTATTGGGCCAACAACTTTTTTGGGCCTTTTTTTATGGAATAAAAATTAGCATTTATGAATTGAAATTTATACCTTCTTTTTTTTTATATTGCAAAGATAGAAAAATAATTAAGTCAAACAAGAATGAGAATGTAGGAGGTTATCTCATTTGGCTAAATGCATTTAAACAATAGGTACTAAAATGTTGTCTGCGATGAATTGCATTATGCCGAAACCCATCAAGGGTGAGGAATGTCATCAATTGTCCCGTAGTATCTTCTTTGCTCTTGTATTGGCCACATCAACTCTGTCGTTTAGGCTTGTTGCCTGTGTCACAAACAAAACAAAACAAAAAGTAAACAAAAGTGAGAGAAAAACAAAACGTCTCAATTTAAAAATGTCAGATAAGTTTCAGATAAAAAGGTTAATAAAAATATAGACATTTAGTAAAAGTGTTAAATTCTATGATATGTTTACTACTAGATCTAGAGAAAAACTTATTAAAATATTGCTTTATTTTGCAATTCTTCTAAAATTTACTACAATGCTGAAAACAACAACACAAATTACTTATTTAATAATTTGGAGTTAAAAAACTCTTATCTTAAAATCTTAAGAGAATACACACAACATATATGTCTTTGTTTGGAAGCAGCATGCAAAACAAAAAAAAATCCCAAATTTAAGTCAACTTTGTCAACAACATAAATGAAAATAAAGAAGTTTTTTTCATTCAGAATCAAAATCATGCAAAACATAAAATAGAAAAAGAAATGTGACTTCAGACAGTTTATGCTTCCTTAAGAATCTTAGTTGCTCGTTGATTTGCTGCCCCAATACGAGTAGCGTTAGAATCAGCCTGAAATTATACAAAGTCAAATATTGACATACAAAAAGAAATTAAATAATTCTACTTGGGTCCACTTTGTCTCGAGTATGGAATATATCTGAGATAAAATGTACTGAAAAAATAGAACAAGCGAATAAGGAAATTATACCCATTAACAGCACTGGCTTTATTCTATGGAACCAAATGTTGAGTTTTTCTCCCCTGACAAATGTCATAAGTTAATGGTGATTAATTCAACTTTTTCATAACCTTTTTCTATTGTTAGGGAAAAATAAATGAGATTTTTCAAAAGCACTTAAATTCCAAATTTCATTCTAAAAATAAACTGCAAATTAGTATTTCATAACATTATCCAATTCATATTTTTCACAGTCCAAATAAAATCACCAAAAAATCAAAGATCCATAAATTCTGTAAACATCAATTTCAATTGCATCATATTTTTGTATTTTTGTTAGTCATAGCATGTACCTAGACATCTATATTTTGCAGTTTCATAATATTATGATATGTACTCTGCTATTAATGAAGTTTTTCTTTTTTTAAGGGCTGCAAAAATAGCGAAAATTAAAACTTCTGCTGCAATGCTGAAGCAACAAGTATGTGAAAATCTAACATTGGTTCCTTAGAAAGTCAATAAAGCATCATAAACAACGCTAGCTACAACATATAAACACCATTAATTCTCCTTCAGGATTTTATGAGCTCTTTTATTGGCCTCCTTAATGCGATCTTGATTTGATCCAGCCTGCAAAACATGCGTTCAGTTGTTTTTGTTATTTTCAAATCTTTACTTCTATTATTGATATTGTAAAATTTCAAAAGGAAATGTAAAGTACCCTATGCAGGAGAGGAAAAAAAAACCAAAATAAAGTTACATTTATTACCAGATACAAAATCAAATAAAATAACTAATAATTCATATCAAAAGTAACCATTTAATTTTTCCTATGAAATTTAATCAAATTCAGTCAAAGAATGACAGTGATTTTCTATAACCTCAATATGAAACTTATGGATATTAATGTGAATCACCATAATTGATTGAAATGCACAATTCATTAATGTGACTCAGACAGAAGAGGGAATGAAATATGCATTGTTTGACCTCAGAATAAAAATGTGAGCTTTACTGTGTAAATAATGTCATCTGAAGGTATTCACATTTTTTTTTAGCATTTTTCAACATTTTTTAAATTGATTTCTAAATTCACACAAATTCCTAGTTAAGAAGCTAGAAATTTTTAGGAACTACAAATTTCACATCCATTTTTCATGAGAGAAGGCAATTTTAACAACTTTTCCACAATGAATGCCAGTATACAGGTTTATACACTGGCCTGAAAACATTTCTTCTTATCTACATCGTGTGAAACTGCAATACTTAAAATATCATTTAATATTGTGGCAATGTGCAAAGTGACTTACATACTGTGGATTCATTATTATTCGTTGGATACCAATTTTCGTGGGTTTCGTGGGTACAGGTGAACCACGAATTCAAATGTTCAACGAATAACATATTTTCAATAGGCTTTGTATACAGAGATTGGCAAAACCACGAAATCAATTATCCATGAATATGCAAGTTTTCAGCAATCCACGAAAATTGATACCCATGAAAATAAATGAATCTACAGTATTACATTTTTTTAAGAAACCCTATTAACAGTACAACTTTACCATTTACATATCAACTGGTCACTTCACTTCATTATAGTTATCAAAGGTGACAACTTTAATGTTCCACAGTTTTATGATTCAACATTCATAATGTGAATCAATATTTTTAAAACCAGAACATTTATGTTATAGGTAAATACATATGGTTACATGTCATATAAGATCTGCAGAGTTATATCCCCTTTATATTCTGAAAAGTTGAGCATTTGGTGCAGTAATTTAATATCCAGATGAGAAAAACTGTCAAGAGTTATATATACCTTATTTTATATTCTGTCATGACATTCTAAGCAATATATATAAAAGGAGAGATAGGGAACAAGTTAATGAGAAAGACATAAAGGCTTCAACATATGGTCTTCAACCATAGACAGGTTGTCTATATTATTTGTTGTTAAGTTCTAAATCACTATAGGTTTTGACAAGTTGTGAATAAAGGGAGATGCATGCAAATATCATGCTCATATAAAAACCAAGTAACATTTGCGAGTTCCAAAACCATATGAAAACCTACCAAAATATCATGGATCAATACTACCAGGTTTAGTTTATCTCAACTTATAGCCAAAAATTTCAGTTAAGACAATAGCCAAATAAGGCCTTTATTGTATCCTGTCCTTTAATCCTATCATTTGTCTAGTTATAGAGACTACGATATATTGGTTGGCAAAATAATGCCTTTTTTGCAACCTGTGCATTAACTATATCAGTTGTCTATTAATACAGACTACCACAGACCTGTCATTAACACAAAATTCTTTAAAGAACAAAAAAGCTCCGAGACATAAATATAGTAAACCCTAACACGGTTTCTGTGCCATAATATTCAAACATCTAATATACCATTAAGCTGGATTTCATGTCCATTGCCTTAATATCAAGAAGAAATGGTCACAAAGTTATACACACTATACTGTGGATTCATTGTCATGGATACAAATTATCATGGATTGAAGAAAAATTCTATTTTTGGGATATTTGAGTTTCTGTGGTTTTGTCTAATCTGCATTTAAAGCTAAAGAAAGTTTGTACTTTGTTGACATTTAAATTCATGATAATAAGACTCTACCCACTAAGTCAACAAAAATTGGTATCCCATGAAAAATACTGAATCCAGATTATTTAATTTTCTTTCAGGTAAAATCTCTGTGCATAGATACCAATTTCCAGAAGTATAGATAGTTTTATTAATTATACACACCTTATTTGATATTCTGTCCAGTTGATTATTCTGTGATGTAATTTCACTTCCCATATCAATGGCCATATTTCTAAGATTACCTAACATTCCACTGACTTCAGTTAAGTTATTTTCCATTTCTTCCTCTCTAGCATCATTTGTAATTCTAAAAAAAAACAACTAACCATAAATCAAAACATTAAATGAATAATGTACTCTGAGGGGGGGTAGGAGGGGTCCTGATCCTGAAATCCCGGGCTTAAAAACATGGAATCCTGCGGTCCCGAATTTAAAAAAATTTAAATCCCGACATCCCGAAATTCTAAAAAAGAATTCCCGGATCCCGAAATTCAGAGCTTAAAAACACCCGATCCCAGAGTCCCGATAAAGGTCCTACCCCCCTCTACTCTGGTAATCGTAAAATAGTATGTATTTTATTGTTTTTCATGTGACCCCATGTATGTTGTATTTTGTGGTATGATGTTTCTACATACTAAGTTTTGTCAATCTAAGTGCTAATGTTCTAAAAATATGCACTGAACACAAACAATGTTTAACTATCATAGGGGTCAAAGTCAGAAAGACCTGAATACAATATACAACACATCCCAATTCCATGATGCATCAGCATATCAAGTTTCATACAAGGTTTTACTATCAAAGGGGTCAAATGTCAGTCAAAGGTCAGAGTAACTTGACTTTGGTATATGACACATCTCCAGCCAATGATGCAAATGCATACCAAGTTTTGTTAACCTAAGTTTTACAGTACAAAAGTTACGAGCCAGACATGAAGTGGACAAGGATTTACATTAATAGTTATTAGTGTCAAAGTCAAGGTCAGAGTGACCTGATTTTGATAAATGACACATCCCCAGCCCATGATGCATCTGCTTACCAAGTTTGATCAACCTAAGTTTTGACAGACAGACAGACAAGGGGATTCTTTTATACTCACTCACAGAGGTATAATAATTGTGTGCAACTACTGATAGTGTTGAAAATTTCTTATGAAAATCTTACTTGGTAATAAATCCTCCTTGTGGTCCAGCCCCATTTCTTTCATCTACCATAACTCTTGGTCCATCTGTGTTCACTTTGCCATCTTCAGATGCTTTCCATGTTTTATCGTAAGCTCCTCCTTTCTCAAAGTTCTTCATTCTGTTGAAAAATATATAAGATTGATTACTGCCTCTTTGATTGAAACAGAAAGTTTTTAGTCAATTTTGAAATCGGGACTAAAAGATATCAGTACAAGTATAATAAAATGCTCCACTGGGGTGCAGCTTGATACGACCGCAGAGGTCGAACCCTGAACAGTTGGGGCAAGTATGGACACAACATTCAAGCTTGATACAGCTTTGCATTTGGATTGTGATTAAATATTTGACACAGAATGAATGTGGTCTAAGAACTTAAAATTTTTAAATTGGACATTCACCTATTATGGTCTAATATCCAAAATCTAAATACATGGTTAGATTCAGCATATCAAAGAATCCCAAGAATTCAATTTTTGATGAAATCAAACAAAGTTTAATTTTGGACCCTTTTGACCTCAATGTGGACAAAGTTGATAACGGGGCCCAAAAATCAAAAATCTAAATACATGGTTAGATTCAGCATATCAAAGAACCCCATATATTCAATTTTTGTTGAAATCAAACAAAGTTTAATTTTGGACCCCAATTTGGACCAACTTGAAAACTGGGCCCATAATCAAAAATCTAAATACATGTTTAGATTCAGCATATCAAAGAACCCTAAGAATTCAATTTTTGTTAAAATCAAACTAAGTTTAATTTTGGACCCTTTGGACCTTAATGTAGACCAATTTGAAAACGGAACCAAAAATTAAGAATCTAAATACACGGTTAGATTCGGCATATCAAAGAACCCCAATAATTCAATTTTTGATGAAATCAAACAAAGTTTAATTTTGGACCCTTTGGACCTCAATGTGGATCAATTTAAAAACGGGGCCCAAAATCCAAAAACTAAATACACGGTTAGATTCAGCATATTAAAGAACCCCAAGAATTCAAGAATAATACCCCATTGAAATTGGTCAAGAAATAAGCAATTTATACGAAGTATCTTCTTTTGCACAATACTGTGCAATTAAATATTTCTTGCTATTGCGCAATACTGTACAATTGACAATTTCTTGCTATTGCGCAATATTGTGCTATTGGATATTTCTTGCTATTGCGCAATACTGTGCAATTGAAGATTTCTTGCTATTGCGCAATACTGTGCAATTGAAGATTTCTTGCTATTGTGCAATACTGTGCAATTGAAAATTTCTTGCTATTGCACAATACTTATTATATAATAATTTACACATCCTGTTTGGTGTGTATCTCCTACCATATCATTATTATTTGCTTTTAAATATAAACTAGAAATAACCAACTTAAAATGGAAAATTTTAAAAGAAAAAAAAAAAGGAAAGAAAAAAAAAATCACCCCCCTCCCCCCCCAAATTTTTTGAACCCCCTTATGATTCATCACCCCAAACTCAATCCCAGCCTTCCCTTTGTGGTATGGTACCTTGCAGTACAATTTCAGAGAGATCCATACACTTGAACACAAGTTATTGTCTGGAAACTAGAAAAATGCTTATTTTTGGCCCCTTTTTGGCCCCCAATTCCTAAACGTTTCGGCCCCCAAACTCAATTCCAGCTTTCCCTTTGTGATATGGAACCTTGTAGTACAATTTCAGAAAGATCCATACACTTAAACACAAGTTATTGTCATGAAACTAGAAAAATGCTTGTTTTTTGCCCCTTTTTTGGCCCCTAATTCCTAAAATTTTGAGGCAATTACCCCCAAAATCAATCCCAGCATTCCTTTTGTGATATGGAACCTTGTGGTACAATGTCAGAGAGATCCATACACTAACACACAAGTTATGTCTGGAAGTTACAAAAATGCTTATTTTTGGCCCCTTTTCGGCCCCTAATTCCTTTACTGTTGGTACCATAACCCCCAAAATCAATCCCAACCATCCTTTTGTGGTATTGAACCTTGTGGTAAAATTTCATAGAGATCCATTCACTTAAACTAAAGTTAGAGTGCGAAAACCAATGTGTCTTCGGACGACGACGACGACGCCAAAACTACAGTATAGTCACTATTAGTTAGCAATAAAAGACTTTAAGTGTCTTTCAACCTATGAAACTGAAAATCCTTTGAAAGAGGTGTTATAAATGGGGCTAGCAAGAAATTATCTCAAGAAAACAAATTAATAAAAGAAAAGTGTCGAAAAATGAACCTTGAATAATCAGCTCTATTTGATTTTTATTCACTAATCACTCAACAAATGAATCATTACTACAAATAAACATGTCATAAGCATCATAACAGGTGCCTATAGTGAAGCAGAAAGTGCTCCCCCTTCTATAGCAATTCTATTGAAACTTCTGTAAGTAGTGTTTTGTGATCTAATTTTGACCTATTTTGATGTTTGGGAATTTTGATTGCCTCTTAGTATCTTCTTTTTTCCCCCAAAGTATATGATACCAAGAAAAATCAGTCATTTTCTTCACCAGTTGAAATATTATTTGATTAACATCATTTAAGTTGACCTACAAATTGACTTACAATTTGCATTACACTTTACATTTTTTCTTTAATCAAGGCACTATCCAGCTTATATAGTAATTAACTATATTTGTATATATACCGTTTCCATGGCAACACACATAACCCACAACATTTTTCCATTCCTTCCAGATTTTTCTCTGCATCTTTCATGTCTTGATTAATCTGGTCCATACCTTCTTCGATCCTATCAAGTTGTTCTAAAGAAAATATACAATAAGGCATGATACTGACTGATATACCGGGTAATGATCATGTGACATGTCAAAATCAACTTAATAAAGGCCTGGCGCACAAAGAAAATTTTAAAGTTAAAATGTTTATTTTAAATTTTGAAATTTATATGTCTGCAGAACTATTGGCATGGCAGTAACAGATCCAGGGTCTGATACTTTTCATATTGTCATAAAAATTAGGAGGGGTACTTATTGGTAGTAATCAATATATATAAAGATAAAATTTGCATGCTTTTTTCATTTCTTTTATCAAATTATTTGTATTGTCACATTTAACTAACCTACAACTTATTGTAAGACATATTAAAATGTTTTCATATTCTTTTTGGCATTACCTATACTTTTTATGTGTTCATATTCATGTCTTAAATGCTTATCTATGCATTTGTAAGTTAATTGCATATAAATATTAAGATAAAGCTAGCAACAATCAATTAATCAATCATTTTATAATTATAGTTTTATCCTAATAAAAGTTTTTTTATGTTGTGTGTTGTGAAATTGCCAGACTTGTAAAGATCTATCGGACATTATTATAGTCTGATCTTAGATGCCTCCTAATTGTCTAATTGATTTTCAATTGACAAAATGATAAATTTAATTGCTATGGCAGTCAGAAACATTAATGTAATGGTGTCATTTTTGCTTCTAGAACGTATGTACTTCAATTCAAGTAGTGGATAAACCAAATTGGTTTTATTGAATATATGCTTTCTAGAATTTCGTCTTATGCAATAAATTCTGCACTAGAAAAGCCTTTTGAAAATGTTGAATGTATTACTGTGGATTCATTATTATTGTTAGATACCAATTTTCATGGATTTTGTGGGTATAGGTCAACCATGAATTATGATTTTCAACAAATCACAAACTCTCATAGACTCGTATGCAAACTTTTGCTAAACCATGAAATAAAATATTCACCAAAATACATTTATTCTTCAATCCACGAAAATTGGTATCCACGAAAAATAAATGAATCCACAGTAACAATTCTAAATGAGGTTGCATCGGCTGAATATTGATACAAACAAAGCATACAATAAATCCTTTTATCAAGGAAAATGCAGTGGCAGATCATATCCAGACTAAAAATGTTCAATGGGTATAGTAAAGAGAAAACAATTAGTTTTTTTTTTAAAACTGATATTAAGAAAAACTACATGTTTAAAAATAGACTGTTGACACTGAGATATGTCTTCCTTTAATATAACTATCATAGTATATTGCAAATGGTGAAATTAAAATGGCAACACCGATACTTTAGCTTGTAAACTATGCGATACATTCAAAGTCAATGAACCATGACTGAAGGTGCAGGGCCAAATAACCTCCGTGGAAATGAGAAATCTTAATACAATTGAATACCATCGACTTGTCATATTTTGATCCCAGTATTCTGACCTGAACACAAACTTTAACAACTAAACTATGCAAAACATCCAAAGTCAACGAAGGCATGATGTGGGGGAAGGGGCATATAATATCCATGAAAATGAGACTTGCAAATGCTATTATACATCTGCATGCCAAATATCATCGACTTCCCAATAGTGATTCATCTTAAACTGACCTTATATTTAACATGTAAACTATGCAAAAGTTTCAATGTCATTAGACTATGACTGAAGGGGTGGGGCCAAATAATCTTCATGAAATTGAGATGTGCCTATTGGGTATTCTTATATAAAACTGCATACCAAACATCATTGACCTGTTGTTCTCCCTCAAACTGACTGTGTTACAAACTTTGACATGTAAACAGAGCAAAAGTTTCAAAGTCAATAGACCGTGACTAACAGGGTGAGGGCAAATAATTTCTATGGAAATAAGATGTGTTTATTTTAATACAACTGCATACCAAAATATTTTCAATCTACCACTAGTAGTTCCTCTTAAACTACGTAATCACAAACTAATACAGTGTTGACATTGTTGCCAGATACAGCACGCCTAAGTTTCGCTTTTTTCGACTTTATCCAGGAGAGACAATAAAGACTGAATGATGAACAAATGTTTGGTCACGCCTCAATAATTCAATCAAAATTAAAGCATTAAACAAGAAAAAGGTGTCCATATGACACCATTCAGTATTGCACTATAATAATCCCATATTCAGAGAACCTCAAAAGCTGTGCCCATACCATAATTGTGCATATATTTTAAAAGGTTCACATCATAATAATAATAAACATGTGTGCTATTGAGTTTCAAGTTCGTGTGACCAAATCTTCTTAACTACCTTATACCCCTATACTTTAACCTACTCTAAGCAAGATTAAAATTCAAATTTGATATATTTCTTTAAAAGTGCACATCATAATGTGACCACAACTTATTGGTACACTACATTAAAACAAAACTTGATACAGGACAGTTGGATCAACTGAGTAACAGACAGACGGACAGACAAGAAAACATAATGGCCAACACTTTACTATTTATTGTAGACCAGGCATAAAAATGAAATTGTAATTAAAGTAATTTCTGGACCACAAGTTTTTCATGTTCTAAATGTATATATCTTTTTGTAAATGACATTGTATATTACAGCATGAATAAAATGACCTTACCCCCTTGTTGGTCCAACATAACAATGGTTTTAATTCCTACATCTTGGGACTGAAATAAGGGTAAAATAAAAGAAAATAAAAGCATGCAACAACATAAATATAGCCAACACAATCCTTCTCAAGCATTTATTATCATATGTATTGCAATTTTAAATTCTACACAGTAATCCTAGACTTAGACCGGGAATTATAAATTAATTACTTTTGGAATTTTCTTTTTATTTTCTTTTTATTTTAAATCTATCTTCCAATTTATAAAAATCCTAAGCTTCAAACAGAAAAATGAACAAAATCTATAAACTCAATTTCTGTGGGAATTATACTTCTTTTCATTTTGTGTGTCCTGCACAGGATTTTAACCTTTTTTCTGTTTATTGCACATTTTAAATTAAATTTTCTATGATTTAATTGACTTTGCCTGACAGTGTCAAGAAAGCAATTTCCATAATTAAAAGTAAATCCAATTCTAAATAAAGCAAGTGCCATAATAAATATAAAGCAAATGATTTACTGGAAGTAAAAAGAAGAATTGTTTTGGCTATGTTCAATAAAGTAAAGTGCTGACAATAATAAACGCAAGCACATTGAAACCTTACAGCATTTAAGTTTCATACTTGAAAATCTATGTACTGTGACATGCAATTAATGTTCACATATTTTAATTAATCTGTTCAAAAATAGTCTTTAACAACTGTTCTATGAAGTCTGTAAGATTTCAATGTATATATTTCTGCCATAAAATTAAATTGGTTTGGTACTAAAGCCATCCCTACATCCTAATAAAGGTCGTTAGAATCAATAAAACTAAACTATGCTGTCTGTGTGAAGATAAATCTTTTTATATTCAAACTTAAGTAATCTGAAAAAAATCCTATAAAATTGATTCTACACAATTTCAAATCAGGAAATTAAACCAGATGTGCCAATAAAGTAGCAACTTAACAACACAAAACAAAAACAACCAAAAACATCCAGAGATCAAAATATAGTCTTACACATAAGACATTTCTTTTCTTTTGGCTGATGGCTTGAGTTCATTTTCAAAAAAAACAACTGTAATTCTAACAAAATTATTGGTGTAGATTTTTTTACATTGTTATCAATTAATTATAAACTCATTCAATTAAGGACCCACGAAATGTTTTACTGAATCTATAATTACAGCTTTTTGGATCCATTTAAAACATCATTAAAAATTGTAGCTATTTTCAGATCAACTTTAATAGGTGCTTAAAATTTCCATTAAAAAAATCATATAAAAAGGGGGGAAAATAAGCATGTGCCTTTACTGTAAATTACTCAATTGGATAACATTGCACAGAAGTCTACTTAGTGAAATCTACAACAACATAACAACAACAAAAACAACCACTACTTAAGTCTAGTAATATAAAATATGAAAGTTGTTTCTTGAGGCCACACTAAAAATAATTTGTTGTTCTTAGACTTCTCGATTAACAAAATGACACTTTAATATTACATCTTTTTTGTATCTAAATTTTCTATTATTTTAATCAAAACATCAAACTTTAAAAAACAATCTTAAAATTCATGTCTTTTCCTTGGCATATTTTGGTCTGCTCATTAATCATATGTAAGTTTATATGATGAAAAATTGAGAATATTGCTCACTAGCCTCTTTTTCAGTTGAAAAAAAACATGCAAAACAAGGAAGAACTAATGAATATGGAAAAGTCTTCTACTTTATGTTATGAGAACAGTGAGTCAGTTGAAAAATCTTTACAAAGTTAATTACAAGGGAGATTCAATAACTTCTTTTTTAAGTCTTAAAACAGAGAATACAAATGTTCTCCCCTAAATAACTTGGCTTAGAGGACTGACCAAAAAGGAGCAAAATTTTGTTGATAACAAATATCTGGACTGCAGGAAAACCACATTTGATTTTACTAGACCTTATACTTAACTCCCAAAATAAACAAAAAATTATATACACTTTTTTTTTAATTACTTGTATGTTACAAAAAAACTTTAACTGAATCCTCTATTACCCAGAATTCATTAAAATTCAAATCATTAAATTTGTATAAACCTAAGAACAAAAACACCTTTGCCAACAAAGATATAATGTCTGAGCTCCATCGTACCTATACCAAAAGCACAAATAAACAGCCATATTCACTCAAATACACATCATCCCTAAAACAGCTAATAGAATTCAGGAAAGACACTATCTATAAGCTTGGACACACTAAATGATACAACATTTAGCTACATTTGTGTTGGCTTTTATATGAGGGTTACAATACCACATCAAAAGGAGATATTACCCATCATGCCTCTTACCTCCTTGTTCATCCAACATAACTAATGTTGTTATCCCTGCCTCCTTACTCTAATATTGATTGGTTGTAATAAAAAATTACTACCATGTAATATACTAGTAATCTTAAATATAGGGTTAGATTTACTACAAGATTGTAATAAAACAAGAAATTCACACATTGTCGTATTAAGCATACCCCCACTTGTAAATCAAAGTAATGGAACCAGGAAGTAGGTGTCTCACAGATCCAAAAAACCCTCACACATTTGAGCTTATAACTTACAAGCTATTGACTAAATATGAAGTAATTCTGTACATAAGTACTAGAGAAATGTGTGCATATCGATAAGTCAAAGTTTCGGCAAACATGATGAAAATGTATGACAGGTCCAAAAAGTGACCACACTGTACAACTTATCACAGACAAGCTGCTGACCTAATATGAAGTCATTCTAATCAGTAGTACCTGACAAAAGTGTGATAAAAATATTTCGTTGGACGAATGGATGGACGAACGGACAAAGTGAATTCATTATAGCCCACTTTAGGGGAGAGTATAATATTACCATCTTGTAGTAAAACTTTGCACATGGGAGCTCTGACTTACTAGAAGACCAACTGACTAATCATGTCAACATTATTCTAACCAAATACATTAAAATGTAATAAAGTAATAAAAAATAAAAGACAATGTAATAAGTGTTAAGTCATAGTGGTTGTGTAAAATAAAAAGTTTTCATTTTGTGCATCATGCCTGTTCTTACCTCCCTGTTCATCTAAGTTTACTAATACCGTAATCCCTGCTTCCTTACTCTAAAGTAATGACGTAATTATTCATACAAATTTTACAGCACAAACCATTTCTGTGTTAATGTATTTTTTTGCTGGCAACTGAACAGTTTAATCCAAATATTAGCTTTAAAAAAAAAATTAAGTTCTGATCCAATAAGGCTCAAGTGAAAGATCTTGGTTCAGGCAACTTTACTTTGATGTACTTGAATTCCCATATTGAAATATTAATCCTGACATTTTATATACATCTCTTGATAAAATTGAAACCAAATTGTCCACTTGCAAGAAAATTGGGGACTTGCAAGAAAATTGGTTAAAATATGTATGGTTTATGCTGTAATGTTATAAATTGTGATATCATGTGTATCTAAAGTTTTTACATGGGCTTTACTCTAAAATGACTGTTTCAAATGTTACATCTTTCTTTATTTAAAATCTGATTTTTTCCACCAATTCATGATTTTTAAAGAAAACTATGAATCCATGTATGCTCTGTCAAGACTCCAAGAATGGAAAAAATAAGCATTTCTATAAGTCTATATCTATTTAGAAATTTTTGTACTGATCCTTCCTGATTAAAAAAAAATGTGAATTATTTGATACGAATAAATTACAGAGCTTTGCCCATATAAATCTTTTCATACACATATACAATCATACACTAAATTATGAAATCTGCAACATTCTTGTTTAATGCAGGCAAAAAATATACAACAACTAATCAGTCAGTCAAAAGTGAATCATGATTCTTCAAGATAACATGTGAGTACAGATGCTTAAAAATGTCCAAGATGACCAGTGAATTAAGTGTAAATATAATTCCACAAGATAACACATGAAAATAATTTTTCATACTTCCAAGTTGACAAGTGGAAAAATATTTACCTTTCTATGGATACCAGTGATACAGAATGCTTTTAAAAAATCTGATTTTATTGTGCCATGCTTTAATCTTACCTGCTTGATCATCAATGTTTACTAGTATAGTTATCGCCACTTCCTTACTCTAGTGATAATTTTCAATGAGAAACATGCCACTGGACGTTAAGCAAGCAACAATCAATCAATCAATGAGAAACACCAATTAGTTATCTCCCTTTAACTAAGATTATCAAGGGGAGACAATTTAACTTACCCCCCTTTGACCTAAGGGCTAAAGGGCAGTTACTGATTAACTCTCATTGTTAGTCTTGTTCAAGGTAGATAACTGGCTTGTGCTTCTAGTTTAATCTCAATGAAATCATTGTCAAAGCATGTAAGCAAGACATTAATAGGTGTCTTTTTAATGTTTTTCTTCAATGTTTCTGCTTTTTTTAGGAATTTGCAGCAATGTTTCATGGTACAACTTCACATGGGATGGGTTTCATTCATTGTTAAAGACCTGAGTAAGCCTCTGTAAGCCTCTGTTAGATCAGTAGACATGTTTTTGGTTTTATCTGATTGGTTCATCTGATGCTTTAAGGGCATACGATATAGTAGCAGGGGAGCTATCAAAGCATCAACATTTAATGTATTGTTTACAGTGATGTTGATAATAGGCATAAAAAAAATTGCAGGGAAAACACACAGACACATCTAATCAGATGCAAAGCAAAGCAGACATGCTGTTTATGGAAACTTGTGAAATATACTGCAGGCTAACAAAGTCTGGTTATATTTCTATTATCAATAAGTTTGAATAAATGACAGTGATTTGTATAATGTTGTGATGAATCAGGTAAAAAGCCTGCACGATGATGTTGCAATAAGAATCTACTGCAACATTATTTAGCACAGAGAGAGAAAATGTGATTTCATGCATTATAAAATGTAGGTTTTCTACTTTAAGCTTAAAAATAAGAAGGTTGACACAATGTTTTTGTCTTTTGTTATTGATGGTGGATCAAAGCAAGATCTCTTCTGTATCGTATGCCCTAAAGTTGTTCTTACTATGTCTGGTTTTATTTGTATTTCTTTTAAAACTAAAATCAAATTTTGTGTCGGTACTAAGTTAGGTTATCTGCCTGATATGCTCTCCTTTATATGTTTGTCTATGTTTTCTTTTTTGAACAAGATTGATGTTGGTGGCGTTCTGCAGCTTTTTGGTAATTCTAATTATCCTTTTTTCATATATCACAATATGTATTATAATAATAAGATTTTTTAACAGAAAGTCTTATGATCTAGTGAAAAAGTTAATTTCTACTTAGTAAATGTTAAAATTTATCATTAACAGTAATAGCTTACTTAAGATTTGAAATATTTTGTTGTATATATTTACAATTCCAAAATATTTCTAACATACCTCTTCACACATCTGCAGCATACGGCGGGTACTATCCAATGACTGAAAAATAAAGATAACATTTATTTTCACAATTGCAAACTTTCTTTTACAGATAATAAAATAACACATATATTCAGTCATACAAGGTGTAGAAACAAAGAGAAAAGTTTTACATTTCTATTCTAGAGCGATTACATGTCTTCATTTTGGGAAGGGTAGATTCTAGAATAAAAAAAATAACGTTCAATTTCACAAAACAATCACAAGCATTATGCTTGCACAAGTTACATATATTTTTTCAATCAAGAGTTTATTTCCATCTGTCTTATATGTGGTTTGTGAAACACTGCCCTGACAAACTATAAAGAAGGATTAGTCTGCAAGATCCAGACAATTACATATACAATATTAGGTCAATGTCAGAAAAATATAAATATAAAACTGGGGAAGGGTGAGGTTTTATCGAGCCCTTCCCCAGTTTTGTGCCCAATACAAAAAAAATTATATTTTTCTGACATTGACCTAATATTGTTTTTATACTGCAACTTAAAGTAATACATTGATAGCTATTTAAATTGTAACACAAATTTCAAACTTATTTTCATCCCTTAATGAACCCCTGATTGTGGAAAAACTGATCCATGATGAAATTGACATTGCACAAAATATAGCTGTGTTACAATATTTAGGAAATAAATACACAACTAGTTGCAGTATAAAACAAGTTGAAGTCTTTTCTGACTTAGTCAATTCATGAGGATAGAAAAGGTACAATTCATATCAAAATTTATTTTCAACCCACCTCTATTTCAAAATGACACCAGCTAGACCTTTTCAGCTGTTTACTTCAAAAGACACAATCTCACTTATATATTTGGACTGTCTGAGTGCTACTTTTATCTTACTCTGAGATAGCTCTGACAGCCTTTTTAGGACTTGCTGAGTTTTTTAGCTGTCCCACTGTTAAAGCAAGTCATCAAAAAGACTGTCGGAGCTATCTCAGGGTGCTTCCATCAGCACCATGATATTTTCAGCTGGCAAAAGTTTCCACATTTGTAGATTTGGTAATCCGCAAACATCCTGCGACTAATTTCACAAAAAATCTTATGAGAAAAAATACTTGTAAGTCATGAACAATTTAGGGGAACAATCAATTTGTGTTGTAAGATTTTTTTTGAAAAGTGGCCCTTGACCTTATTCTTCAAAAAGAGCAGACAAAAAAGAAAGGAATCATAAGAGGACAGCTTGATCTAGTAACATCTTTATCATTTCATACAAAGATGAGCAGGCGGTCAAAGATTTCCTTGCATTAATATTGGCCGAGTTCAAGTATGAAACTAAGTTCCATATTGATTATATGTTTTGTTTATGGATGATTACTTGATTAAATGACTTTATCATGTAGGATTAGTTGATTTCAAGAGAATTGTTTTTCTTCAAAATCAAAACATACATAATTTTTTTATATTGAAAACACCCAATTAATTTTTCATTTTGACTGTAGCTGCATATATCAATTAATTTCATTGGAAATGGTAATATTTTTTTGTTACCAAGAGCTGTATATATAAGGCATTAAAGCCAAAATTGCTCAGGTGGAACTGGGTTAATCTATGACATAGTTATTGTAATCAAACCCATTCACATGAGCAAATTGGAGCTCGGAAAAATAGCTCTTGATAAAATTTTAATTTCACTGAGCAGTAGAATGAAAATTGCCTAAAATATGATCATTTGATACTGCAAGGTAACAGAGGACTTCGTTTGTAAGACCCTATAGCTCATTTCCATCTCATAAGAAATGCACATAAAAAGGCCATTTCAATTATTTAGTTTGAATAAAAGAAAAAACAGCCGTGCATCTATCTATATGGAAATTGCTGCTTTAAAAAAGGACATTTCAATTATATAGTTTTGAATAAAAAGAAAAAACAGCCATGCTATTTATCAATATGGAAATTGCTGAAAAAAAAGGCCATTTCAATTATATAGTTTTGAGTAAAAAGAAAAAACAGCCGTGCACTTATCAATATGGAAATTACTGCTTTAAAAAAAGGCCATTTCAATTAGATAGTTTTGAATAAAAAGAAAAAACAGCCGTGCATTTGTCAATATGGAAATTGTTGCTTTAAGGTATTGCACACCATAACAATGAGTTGGTTATCTGGAGAGTCCATCAATTAATTTCATTCAGAATTCAATATAATTCTAGCCAAAAAACATCCTCCAGTACTCGAGTACTAATTGTCTACTGACAATTCATTCTACCACACAAGGACAATTTTTTTCTTTTGTCATTGTTTATTGATATCCATGGAAACAATTCCTTTTTTATTTACAGTCAAGAGCTATAAAACATTTAATGGCAAAGCGCAATCACTAATTATTTATGAATACACAATGTTCATTTGGCAGAAATGTTTGAACTCGGTATAATTTAAATAATTGTAATATTTGTTATAAGCACCACTATTGTGATCAATCACCATATCGCTACCAGGACATATCCCCCAAAGACCCCTAAATCAAATTTCTATTATAATGTGTATTATATCTCCTCAGCAAATTAAGCGGTAAAAAAAGTTAAACATAAATAATTGATATATAATTCTATTCATGCGAGTGGATTCCCCGAAGCAGAAGCTTTATCATGGAAGACTTTAGTAAATTTAAATATTGGTAACTTTGAACTTTGTGTTATACATTTATTTAAATTGCAGGTGTTACTGTCAATGTCTTTGCAAATTTTTTTATCATGCTTGGACAGTGTATTTGAGGTTTGAAGTTGTTTTTTTGTATTTATGCACAGTCATCTTGCATAGGTCAAAAGAAGTGAAATTCAATTTAATTGCATAGTCTTCCAAGCTCATAGCCCTTACACAACCCTCTTAACTTGTTAAATGAACTTAAAAACATACTGTAACATCAAATAAATTTACTGTATACTTTATAACCAGCCTGTCCATGATATTTTCAAAAGTCACATTCCCCAAAAAATAATTTTATGTCTGATTTTCCTGAGAATGGAACTTTTGGTTATAGTAAACCTTCACTAAATTTTGTATGGCAAGGGCTAACAAAAAAATGGAAGAGCATTATCCAGACAACAACAAAAATTGCCAAATGGAATGACAAGTGGAGTGACCATAAACATTACACATTTGGCAATTTCATAACTGCTTGGTCTTTAAGTTTGTACAGTAAAGTTAACTAGTTTGCCACTAATAACGACTTAATGTCTGAAGTCTGTTGGTTTTTTTTTGTTGTTGGGTTGCTGTCTTATTAGTGTATACCCCACAATTACATTTATAAATTCTTTCCAAACCTATTTCTTTTGAATATTTTCATTTAGAGAAGTACAAATGTAGAAGTGTTCAAAAGTATGCAGTACTATTCTTGCAATTTTTAAGAATTTTTTACTGATTTGTAATTTTGTATGGAACTTACCAGTACCCAGTAATTATCTCGAAGATTTTTTTGTAAAGTGAAGTATTACTGAAAATAAATCTTACTTCAGAAATAACTCCTATAATCATAAATGATCATAAAACAAATATACAGCCTAGAATAGAAATCGCTAGCTAATGCTGTGCATGTCATAAGATCTTTATTTTTAGAAGCAGACAATGTTTTATATATCATTAATTGATTCTTCACTTAAGTGTACAAATGTCAGGACACAGACAGATATAAATATGTCTAATGCATGGTTTAGAAAGATGAAAGTATGACCAAGTTTCAGGATGACCTTAATGGTATAAGAACATAAAAAGTGATGTTCTAAAAGTAGGAAATAAAACTGAATTTTAGAAGATCTTTATTCAAACATAAAAAGATTTTTTTTTTCTAAAAACAGGAGATGAAGCTGAATTTAAGATGATCTCAATGTTAACATAAAAAGAATTGTTCTGAAAAAAAAAGACGGTCCTGAAAGGTGGAAGAAAAGCTGAATTTCAGGGAAATCCAAAGGTTACCTAATAAGAAATTTCAGAAATTCCAAAGTAATTCTGAATTTCAGAGTAATCCCAATATTATTTTAATCAGAAAGGTCTAAAAGGAGGATGGAAGTAAAGCTGAATTTAAGGGGATCCCAATGTTACAGTTACCAATAATAAAGTTTCCGAAAGTTGAATTTCAGGATGTTGATAACCCCAATGTCATCATAAATAGAAAAAATAAAAGGTGGAGGTAAAGCTCAACTTCACTGTGATCCCAATATTAACCCAAAACAACAAAGGTTCCGAGAAGGCAGATGTAAAGATGAAATTCAGGATGATCCCAATGTTACAAAAAAAAAAAAAAAATATTCTAGAAGGCAGAAGTAAAGCTGAATTTCAGTATGTCTACGATACAAAAACATCAGAAATATACAGTTCTAAAGGTTGAGGAGAAGACTGAATTCCAGGGTAATCCAAAGTTATTTATCATAAATAGTAATTTAAGCTTCTGAAAGGCGTAAGTAAAGCCTAATTTCAGGGATATCCCAAAGTTCCCATATCCAGAAAATTTTAGAATCTGAAAGGCAGAAGTAATGCTGAATTACACAGTAATTCCAATATTATCATAAACAGAATAGTTCATGCTCTTCCTTATTAGGTAAATGTTCAGACTTTACAAGTCTAATGTATAATCAACTTCATTACACGTATCTCTCAGGACAGTTTTATTGGATTATCTACGAGACATCAATGTAAATGTTTAGTAATTACATGTAGATCATTACTTCTAATGAAAGGTTTTCTCACTAGGATTAATCAAATAAACTAGTACACATAGTACCTTCATGGGTTATCTTGTCCTATTAATTTTTTTCAAATGCCAAACTTCCCTACTTAATTGATTTCATTATGAGTACATTTGTACTTGCTTGTATTTCAGATATAGTCTTAAATTAAGGCCAAACTTCCCTACTTAATGGATTTCATTACAGTTGTACTTGCTTGTATTTCAATATAGTCTTAAATTAAGGCCAAAATTACCTACTTAATGGATTTCATTATGAGTACAGTTGTACTTGCATGTATTTCAATATAGTCTTTAAATTAAGGCCAAAATTACCTGCTTAATGGATTTTATTACGAGTACAGTTGTACTGGTTTGTATTTCAGATATAGTCCTAAATTAAGGCTAAACTTCCCTACTTAATGGATTTCATTATGAGTACAGTTGAACTGGCTTGTATTTCAGATCTTAAATTAAATAGATGTTCTTTGGTGGAATTTTTGATTGCATTATCTATTGGCAATTACTTCATGCATATTTGGGACAATTGATGAGAGCGATGATTAAGAGGGGTGAGGGATTTACAAGAAAAAAATTTCTGTACTCTTATCAAATTCAAAACTTTATTGACATACAAATCAACTGATATGATATGATTTGTGACTAAACTAACAGTGCTGACAATGCCTTTGTTGGATAATTATGAGCAGTGGAAAGGAGAAAACAGATTCCAAAATAAGAAAACAAGAGTGCACCCGCTGAAATGTCTCGCCTACTATACTGACCATTGATTTTATGTTGATAGTCCTACATATAGAGTTTTACTACAAGTATCACATTAACATTTATGATCCAAGAAATTGAGGTCAAGGTCAGATAAACCAAGCTGGAAATACATGTACACCTTTAATACAACCATTCCATACACAGAATATAGATGACCTATTGCTTATAGTATAAAAGAAACAGACCAAACCATGGAAATTCTATACTGACCAATGAACCATGAAAATGAAGTCAAGGTCAGATGAACCCTGCCAGACAGACATGTAAACCTTAAAATCATTCCATGCATCAAATATAGTTGACCTATTGCTTAAAGTATCTAAGAAACAAAGTTAACCAGGAAAACTGAACATTGACCAATCAACCATGAAAATGAGGTGAAGGTCAGATGATACCTGCCAGACCGACATATACACCTTACAATCATTCCATACAGTAAATATAGTTGACCTATTGCTTAAAGTTTAAGAAAAACAGACCAAAACACAAAAACTTAACATTGAGCAATGAACCGTGAAAATGAGGTCAAGGTCAAATAAAACCTGCCAGACTGACATGTACATCGTAAAATATTTCCATACACCAAATATAGTTCACCTACTGCATACAGTATTAGAAAAACAGACTAAAACACAAAAACTTAACATTGAGCAATGAACCGTGAAAATGAGATCAAGGTCAAATAAAACCTGCCAGACTGACATGTACATCGTAAAATATTTCCATACACCAAATATAGTTGACCTACTGCATACAGTATCAGAAAAACAGACCAAAACACAAAAACTAAACTACGACCACTGAACCATGAAAATGAGGTCAAGGTCAGACAACACCTACCAGTTGGACATGTACACCTGACAATCATTACATACACCAAATATAGTAAACCTATTGCTTATAGTATCTGAGATATGGACTTGACCACGAAAACCTAACCTTGTTCACTGATCCATGAAATGAGGTCGAGGTCAAGTGAAAACTGTCTGACAGGCATGAGGACATTGCAAGGTACGCACATACCAAATATAGTTATCCTATTACTCATAAAAAGAGAGAAATTAACATTACAAAAAAAATCTTAACTTTTTTTTTCAAGTAGTCACTGAACCATGAAAATGAGGTCAAGAACAGTGGACATATGACAGACGGAAAAACTTCATATCATAAGGCATCTATATACAATGTATGAAGCATCATGGTCTTCTACCTTCTGAAATATTAAGCTTTTAAGAAGTTAGTTACTGCCGCCGCCGCCGGATCACTATCCCTACATGTGTATGTCGAGCTTTCTGCGACAAAAGTTGAAGACTCGACAAAAATAATACATGAAGGTTGAATAAAGTGTCAGTATGGAATGTTTTTAAAGGAATAAAACTGGTAAGAATTGTCTGTGATAGTCCTGGTGATGTGTATACATTATTTTATATTCAGATAGAGAAATTTTTTCATACATTTTTGAACATCTTGTATTCATTATAATTCTGCTGTTCTTAACGCTAGGACCCATACATCTTCGTATGTTACATTATTTACTCAGAAATTTTATCACTCATCTGCATATTACTCAAAGTTTATACATAAAAGCTTAGGTCTAATACCAATAAATTTCATACTAGAACTGAAAAGGGATTTATTAATTTTACCTTTCACAAACCCAAACTTTCTATTCAAATAATCTCAAATTTGTGAATACATAGTGTTTTTTACTAGACTATTTCTATGATGTAAGTTTATACAATATAATTCTCAAGATCTTTCAATTTTAATGGACATTGAGTGAAGTATTAAAGAACCAGTATTTAGTTTGTGTAGCATTTTTATCAATGTCTGACAAAATGCACTGTGCAAAAGAAAAGAATTAAATACAGTGGTTTAACTTGGTCTATGATAAGTTTATAAATCCAACACTGATAAATTTCCTTACAGACCTTCCATATTTTTATTTTTCATAAACACAGATTCTTTGTCATTATTATAGGTCTATGTGAAATGGTTCTATGATACATTTAATTCAGATGTGATAGACATTTGATCCACCAGGCCTTCCCGTCATAAAATCTGCTTAGACTCAGAAATCAACTTATTCAAAATACTGGATTTGGTCTTTCGAGCACAAATTTTGTTCTACCAGTACTGAGTTATATGACTGAAGGACAAGGACTAATTATAAAATAGGGATCATTTTAAATATCACTTAAAAATAAACTAAAAGAGATTCTAACAAATCAAAATAGAAAAATTGTTTGAGTCTATTTAATTTGAACTAACAAACAAGTAACTGAAATATGCAATCACGAACCAATAATAAAGTTAAGAGACAAACTAAAGTTGTATAAAGAACTGTTAACCACTTTCATCTTGAGTTCAGTAACTTTAAATACGACTTTGAATTTTGGCACTGGTCAAAATACTAAAAAGTTTATGTTACATTTGTATTTATGTTGCACTAAAAATCAAGATGCAGAAAAAAATTCACTGGTTGTAGCCTGCAGACAAGTGCTAAATTTAAAAACTTTATCTAAGAAAAAATTATATTCAAAAACATGAATTACTTGGATTGCAGCATTATCCAATACTTCCTGAGTTATCACTCCGTTTTCTCCTTCTGTCGCCACATCTGGAACTTCCGCAACATCCGAGTGATTGACATTATTCATAACTTTTTTTTCCTCAGAATATCACTTTATTAAATAATCCAGTCATTAAAATAATACAAAATTATTTTTTCCTGAATTTTCAACGCAGAAACTGTAAATTCATAGGCAAATATTGTATGATAAAAAACGACACTCTCCAGTAATCAAGATACAAGATCCTACCAATCCAATTAAGTTAAATCCATGAAACTTTTAAATTAAAAAACTTATCTTATCCTAGCTTCTTCTTATAGAAATTTTCTGTCATGTCAAATTGATAAATATCAACTGAACAAAACGAATAGTAATCCCATCATCTTTTAAACACTGCATGTCACATTTTAACCATCACGTATTAGTAACACTTTAACCGCTCCTTTCAATGTGAAAGTGTATCCTCTCTATTATCAAACACAAGTCTGAACACCAAACATCAGACTCTCTACAGGATTGATACATTAGGTATGGCCATTATATACGTGATCTACAGAGCCAATACGTTAATACCAACTATTATACACATCTACACTGAAGAATTGACTATTATATAACTATTCCGATATGCCATTGATCTTCGTATTGATTTTGACAGAATTTTGTTTTTGATAATATTTAAAGCTACTACTCCCCGAGACGTGTATTGATTGATTGGAATCAGACAAGGAAAACCGTCATGTAGCTCTGAGCATCTATTGTCAATGGAATCTAAACTTATATTCAATTAAAACTGTATGCCATGAAGACTCAATGTTTCCAACAGTAAAAACCTATGTAAAACTGATTACAACTAAACATGTTCGTCACATATCACAAAATAGAAAGGAAGTGCTGTCAAAAACAGTAAATCATTGTAAAACTTCACTGTGTAAAATTCATTCAGAACATATTTGACGTCGGACAAAACTGTCAATTTTTTATATCGGAACTGGAAAATACATAGTGAGAGAGCAATATCATATGAACATTCAGACACACTTTCTTAATCGCTACTGACAATGAAAACAATGCAATTTCTGTTTAACAAACAATTTTATTCATTCTTCAAAAATTACTTTGGCAAAGCTAGCTTTATATTTTCTATTTCTATAAACAGACTATCAATCAAAGACGCAAGGAATATTATTCAGTAATTCAATACTGATTTTAATGTTTAATAATTTTATTCATAGTAACAAGATGATGTCTCAGCTGTCAAGCAGGGAACAATTTATAATAATCAGTACAGTGTTCTTCATAAGGCCTAAGGTACATGTACTATATTTTTTACCATGGTGCTATAATTTATAAATGTGTTGCTAAAATCTTAGGGAAATAGTGCTATTTTAAATTCCATTCAATTTGAAAATACTGACATAACACTGTTACCAAAAAAAAGTGTCTGACTTTTCACTAGCAATATAGTTGATGAAAATTAAAGCTCTTTCTTTCTTTGATTCTATGTGAAAAGTATACCTTGTTCCATTTATTTTTATTATCTACAAATCAATATAATTGTTTAGAATTTATGCTCAGAATAATATGTTACAGTTTTCACCCTTTTTGCAAGAAACAAAGTGTTGACCTTGACCTTGCTGACAGTGACAGACATTCCAACCTTAAGCACACTTAAGGATTGTGGGCAACACTTAAATCAAGATGCTGTATAAGCTGTAAAGCAGGGGTCAATTTATAATTAGCAATGTCCAATGTTCTCACCAGGGTCTTATGGTGCTATGCTTTTTACCATCAGTGGCTAAACCAATGAACGAGAACAAAAGAAAATTCACTCTTCTTATGAAAAAGTAGAGAAAATCAACAATAAAACAATGCCAGTGACAATACTGATCAAAAGTTATTTCTAAACAATAATCGCACATTTTAGAGAAATTATTTGTTAAACTGTGTTATTAGAAACACTGCAAAGACATAATGTTTTATGTTTATTATTAACAGAGATAATTGCATTAGAAGCTTGTGAAACTGAAATTTAAAAAATGTTAATCTTTGTTGCATATTGATGAAAAAAATTGGAAAAAATCATGAACATACAAAATCTTAAGACCTTTCAAGTCAAAACTTTTCTGAATGTTCAAAATAGTCCTTAGGATGTTACAATTTCCCAAAATATACCTATTTTCACATCTTAAGTTTTCGAGTACACTAGTCTGCTCTTGTCATGTGAACTTTCCATATAGAAATATTGTCTTTTCATGAATATAACAATTTAAAAGTCATGCCTGTGCAGACTTAAAAATTAAAGATAGATATTTTTATACAGTAGGTTATCCGTTAAAATATTTTTTCTAGGTCTTATACAATTCTAAGAAAAGGTTGTCTAGATTTCTGTACATGAATTTGCAGTCTTCTTGATCTATTCACTTTCAATGTTTACATTGGGATAAGGTCTGTTTGAATTTGCCTAGAAACTTAATTTCAAAAGTGTTAATCTTTGCTGTATATCAATCGATTCCATTGGAAATTTTTCCCTGAACTTCTCTGATCTAGCTGCATACATATATGGATAATTGGCTTGTCCCAGAGAGGTATATAGCCAAGTAAAAAAATAATTTGAAGTTGGTACTCCTGAAAATTATTCGCATAGCAACATTTTAAACCAATTTTACACATAGCTCCTACAGCCTGTTGTACTTGTTGTTTGCTATTTTAGGAGGGAAATGTTAATATTATATGAAAATGTTGTCTTTATTTCAATTAAGTTAATACAACTATTTACCAGATCATTTTATTGTGAATTTATATTTAATAGCGTCCTTTCTAAAACGTGACAAACATTGAAAAGATCAAGATTTCTGTGTTTAAAGGGGAGGTAATATTTTGTCACTAGATTTCCCACTGCCATGGTGCAACCTGAATAGATTTGATTGATATCATAAATGTGGTACTATAATTTCAAGGGAAATAGTGATATTTCAACTACCATGGTGCTATCTAAAAATACTGAAGAGAACTCTGTTACAGTCTTACTAATAAGAAAGGTTTTGTTAGCTACATGGTCTGAATTATCTTTTTGAGTAAATATCCCACTGGCCTGAACTTGGAATTCTAAAAAAAAAGGCTCAAAAAAGTTATTTTTATAGATCTTGGCTTTTGGGCCTTTTGTTAATCTAAATATTGGCTAAGGTTCAAAAGTTTGATTTTTAACAGATCTGGGTAATTGGGTATAGACCCGCTTAAGGCTCAATTTTTTTTAACAGATCTGGGCTATTAGGCCTGTTGTTAAACTATAGACTGACTAAGGCTCAAAAGGTTTTTTTTACAGATCTGTGCTATTGGGCCTGTTGTTCAACTATAAACTGGCTAAGGGTCAAAAGTTTTTTTTTAACAAATCTGGGCTTTTGTGTCTGTTGTTAAACTTTAGACTGGCTAAGGCTCAAAAGGTTTTTTTACAGGTCTGGGCCATTGGGCCTGTTATTAAACTATAGACTGGCTAAGGCTCAAAAGTGTTTGTATAGATCTAGGTTATTTAGCCTGTTGTTTAACTAAAGACTGGCTAAGGCTCAAAAGAGTTTTTTTTTACAGATCTGGGATAGTGAGCCTGTTAAATTATAGACTGGCTGAGGCTCAAAAGTTATTTATTGGGCCTGTTTTTAAACTAGAGACTTCCTTCACTTCAAAAATATTTTTTACAGTTCTGGGCTAATAGACTGGCTATAGCTAAGGCTCGAAAGTTTTTTTACAGACCTTGGTTGTTAGGCTTGTACCGTTACTTTACCTATAGACAGGCTTACCTATATGCCCTGGACAGAATGTTTCAAAAAGGGTGGAACTGATTGATTCTTTAATAAGGGGCATGATTCAAATCTTTCCACTTGATACATGAGCTCCTGACATGGATAATACAAGTACTCCAAAACAAAATACATTCATAACATTTATTGTAGTTAAAATCAATAATTGTCTACAAGTGAGGGACACTTGGCTTTACATAATTGATACTTTTTGTAGGTAATTAGTCTTGGTAAGACATGCAATTTTTCTTGTCTATAAATAATACATCAACAGATGGTTGGTTAGATCGGCACATTAATTACTATTTTACGTCATTTCAAACGGAAATCAGTCACGTCAATATCTTATTTATGGATCAGATTGTCTATAATTAGCCCAAATTACTATATATTAGTGAATACTCGGAACATTTTAACCATAAGCAGGCAATTATATTGATTTAGAAAAACTTAAGTTGTCAATAGATTGTTTTTGTCGGAGTGTCCTAAACTCATAGCACTACCTTAAAAGGCTTTACCATTCATCTTTTAAGTTTAAGTTTACAAACTGAACCTTGGGTTCAAATTTGCTTGAAAGAATGAAAGGCCCAGGACCATTTGAATTTACAAGTGAAAGGCCCATCTTTAAGACAGTCATAGGTCCTGTATGAAGCATCAATGGAAAGCATGGGAGGTACTGGACTTTTTGGTTTTGTTTCCAAAAATTGAAGGTTCCCTTCCAGGAAAGATAGGTCCGGACCTCAGACCGACACTAATATGAAACCATGTTGAGGGAGTCAAATTGGATATCTATCTAGTTACTTTTGTATGTAAATTTCAGAAATTATTTCTTCTTAATGAAATAGTTTTAACAGCAAATTTGTACTGAAGAATTCATACACATGCATGTATATAATGATTTAAAGATAGTTTGTTCACTTTTCAATTACATGGTGACCGACATGTTCACAAAGACTAAAATGTAGCATGGGCCTTAGGTAAGATTAGTTCATATAACTACAGTTGTATGAGGGTGTAAATAAAGAATAATGGGCAAAAAATATAAAGAATAGAGAATAAATTGCTTCGCTGAGCGCAGCTAGATACGACCGCAGACTCAGGCACAGAGGTCCAACCCTGAACAGTTGGGGCAAAAATGGACACAATATTCTTGCTTGATACAGGTCTGAATTTGGATTGAAATTAGATGTTTGACACATAATAGGTTTCTGACACAGAATAACTGTAGTCAAAGAACTTAAAATTGGTTTTATGATTTGAATTTATATTCAATTTTTTGCTTTTGTGCAATACACTATGCTGTTACGAATTGCCCCCTCCCCCCTTTTTTTTTGCTTTTGTGCAATACACTATGCTGTTGTAAATTGACCCCCCCCCCCCCTCCCTCCCAAAAAAAAAATTTCACCCCCTTTTTTTTGGCAATTTTTTTTTTCTCACCCCACCCCTTTTTTTTTACAAAAAAAAAATGATATTTGCAGAAATTTTCTTTTTCTAATTTCTGAAAAAAAAAATTGTTTCCCGCCCACAATTTCTTTTTAACCCCCACCCCTTTTTCAAAAAAAAAATCTTTCCCTCAAGATATGGTCATTATCTCAATTCAAATTTCCAATGGAGTTTGCAACCATAATTACCCATTTAAATACATCATAAAAGTCTTAAAAATAGAAAATGACATACATAATCATGTCTAAAAATAATATATCTTTAATCAGCATTTTATTAGTAACTTCTAAAAATAAATTGACAGCAAATCACCTCAAGA